TAATTTATAAATACATTATTATTATTACTAAAGATCATGTGCATTACTCACCTTTTGGTATACTGGTCAGAGGCGGAAGCAGACAGAAGGTGTGGTAGCTGTCGTCGCAGCCATCGCAAAGCAGCATGGATTCCTCAACGTCGCCGCGATTGCATATGTGGCAAATGTACTTCATTAGAGGATCGACAATCAGAGCCGGCGGTTCGCCGAGTCCCTTTTTTTGGTTGGCGCCACGAGTGTTGGCTGGGCCCCCGCCTGCGGCAGAAGGCGCATTGCCGCCACCGCTATTTATTGAAGCATTGAAGCTGCTAAGCAAATCCCGTTTAAACTCCTCCTTGGTCTCTGTCTTGACGAAAACACCAGGAGCAGATGGCTTTGGCGTTGTAGCACCGCTTAGGCCACAACTGGCGCTGGAGTTGCCAAAGCGCTTGGAGCGACGAGTGCTGCTTTCGTTAGGCGGTGCAATCTGCTGTCGTGTTGGTATCTCATGGACTTTGTAGTCGGTGCCACCGCCGGCGTCCTCCAGCTTCACAGGCGTACCGCCTGCAGATCCAACAGATGCTGTTGGCGTGGGACCCAATACTTTGCCGGAGGTATACACCTCAAAGGGGTGTAGAATGCGCTCATAGTGCGCCTTCAACGTGGCGCCCACGCTCTTGCTGGAAGGGTATTGCATCCGATTGGCCACCTTGGCCCACTTGCGGTCCTTCGTGGTCTGCTCCATGCCTCCCTCTTCCTGCACAATACGGTGCAGTGTGTACAGGTCCAGGGCCTTACGCTCCACCATAGGAATCTTAAGAGAGGAGCCCTGCAGTTCCCAGAACTTGGCGATCTGATCGAGGAAGTTTAGTTTGACGCGCGTCTTTGCCTCCAGTTCGTTGAGCCGCTGGACGCGAGGTGTAAAGCGCAACTTGTCCACATCAACAGCGAACGGTGGCGACCAGGAGGCCGGCGGTTGTATCTTGGCGATGCCACACTTCTCCGCTATCGAGCGGATCTTGCTGATGTATGCGAGTGGATTCTTGAACTCCTCGGTAGTGGGACGAAATACGGGACATTCTGGCGGAGTGTCGAAGTGAAACTCTTCGTTTTTTCCCTGGTCAAACTTGTTGCTGCTGTGCGGCTGCGTGTGCACCGTCTTCTTGTGTCCGGACGGGGGCGTGGGAGTTGGATGGGGGCAACTGTTGTGATACTTCTTGCTGGCCGATACGCTGCTGCTGGCATGGTTCATTGGTACACTGGGCATGGGCCGCTCAATCACCGTCGTGGGGCCGGTTGCGGCGGCCGTGATATGGGCACCTGCCGGGGTGACAGGAGCAGAGGAAGTATCATCGCTGACATTTGATTTCTTGGCGGACTCTCCGCCGCTGGCTGCTCCGTGGCCGGTTGAGTTGCGAGTGCGTAGGCGACGCGCTGGGGTCGCTGTTCCGTTGGCGGACGCTGTGCCGCCGGCGGAGGACGAGCCGCTGCTGTTGGCGCCTCCGCCGATGCCGCCTGAATGGGCGGCTGTCGAATTGTCCGCCTCGGTTTTGGCGGACATGGCTTTAGTGTAGGTTCAGATTCGAATTACTGCGCCCGGCTCTGAAAAGCGAGAGAGAGAAATGTAACTGGTTAGTTCCGGAGTTCACAACGGAATGATGTTCAACGCGTTTCGGTCAGTTGGCTTTTGTTGTTATTGTTAGGGTTGAAAGCCGCCTGTCCTGTCCATTTTGTATTCGATGATATGGCAACACTGGAAGGCCATCCCTTTTGCAATTACACATTGATGGGAAAATAAATTATTACAGGCAAGAAACTAGAAATAAATTGAAAATACTTTAAAGTCATTTTAAGAGCCCCTTTTCTGAGGATCAAGCTCTTAAAACAGAGTAGCTTCGGAGTATCTTTTGTTCAGCTCATTTTTTGTATATTATTTTTTTATATATTAATCACCAAGAAATTAACACATAACTTTGCGAAGGAATCATTATTTCTAAACTATTTTGGTAGCACTCCAAACCATGATTTGTAAACCGGGTATTCTGTAGTCGAGGACATTCAAGTATGCCTTATAAAACATTTCTCAGGCACTGAAGCAGCCTTTTAAATGACAAACCAAACCAATTTTTCAATAATATTTTATTTTGATTTGACATTTAAAACGGTTATTTTTACTAGTAGTCACTTTAAGGAAGTGTTTACTACTCGTAAAGGCACAACATTCATTTTAAACACTTGCCTCAGCTCACAAAATGACCCACTGTATCTACATCAAATTTAAATCCCCGCACACCTGTATGTGCGTTTGTATGGGTGTATTACTGGTGCCTGCACTCAACCCTCACAGGTAAACAAACAGTAACCGAGGTGCCAGGGGTCTAGGAGAGAGACCTACAATACGACCTATCCAACCCTGCCAGGATCGAGGAATCGTTTTTGGCGAAAGGGACCTATTTTATCCTTCCACACTCCTAGAGAGAGAGTGCAACAGCTAATGGTAGTTACTGAGAATTTGTTGCATACAAAAGTGGAGCACGAGCACGGCCAAGACATCCCCGAACACACGGGACACGGGGAGGGATGTCGTCGCATGTGTGTATGTATAACATGGCGACCAATAAACTTACAAACTCAATATGCTCTTCGCGGACTTCAGTACATCGAGGCAATGAGCGAGTATGTTGTGTTTGTATATAAACATAGATTGGATTTATTTTATTCCAAACAATTGGCTGCAGGACACGGCGCTTGAAAAGTGAAAGTTAATCTGCATAGAATTTGAGGGATATTGAAAGCTACACTTGACAGAATTCGAAAAATGTATGCCTAAAGTCCAGAAACGGAAACGAAGCCATCTTGAAAATCGCTGTCATGTCGCCGTCGAGTTCCGGCTGAGGTTTGCAATGGGTTTTTATTAGAGGCTTGCCAGCTAGACAGACAAAAGGAAGCTTTGCTGCCGCGGTGGTTGTTGTAACTCACACTCGCTCACACGGTTGCACAGAGATGTGGGGCGCACTCGGCAGTCACCACTAAACACAGAATCAGCGGCGGAAAGGGAGTAAAAGTGGGTGGGGAGTGCGGCGCGTGTGTGTGTATAGTTTTTCTATGCTTGATCAGGAAGAGCCCGCCGCTCTCTCCTAGAGATGAGCGGCGAGAACTGTTTTTGTGTATCAAGTGAGCAAAGTACATCGACGACGGCCACGGCAACGCGGGTAGTCAGAGCCGCCGTCGCATGCTGCGTTTGGTGCGCTGCTCGAGTTAATGATTTCCCCCGTACGACTCTTGTGCGGAGCGGAGGATTGCAATTGGGATTTACGGACTGGTACTCCGGCTCGGCTTGGCCAACTGTCGTTTTGCGGAATCGCTCCAAACAGTTGACAGCGGGCACAAACTGTTTGCCAGCTCTACGGTTTATTGATCGTTCGGAAAAGCGGAGCCTAAGCCGCGAAAGCTTCTTTTATATAATTTCCATTTTCAGGCACACACACAAACACACTCGCACGCAGCTTACACAGGCGGCACACGAACGCAGGTACACGAACGCAAACACACACACACACAGCCGAACACCGAGCATGTACATAAATATGTATGGTTTTTGGCAAAATTAGCACTGAAATCTAGTTACTTTTACAATGCACACACGCACAGCACCCACTAGAATTAGTTGCAGCTCGGGGAGCCGGAGCCAGCAGGAGCACCTGGTTGGCACAGCAACAGAAACAACAAAGTACTGTGATTTTTACGCATTCGAACTGCCATATTGCACATTTACAGCGGAGGGGGAGGAGCAGAAAGTGAAAAGGGGAGCGAGCTGGTTTAAAAGTAAATGCAGGCACTGTACTTTTCGAAAGGCTAGCAGCCCACACTGGAATCAAAATATTAATATTATCTATCGTTCCAGGCGGAAAGATCACAATATTTTTTTTTCGCTATGATGGCGACCACCACGGCAGCGACGCAACGCACTTTACAGCGCTGCCGCGGCTCTGCTGGCGTATGCAATCCGTGCACAAAATTTGATTCACCACACGGGTTACTCCGCGTTCTAGGCACACTTTTGGATACTCCCCACCTGGAGGGGCGAAAATCGAATAGTTTTTTCAGGCGAATTTTCACTTTTATTAGACTTTTCTTCGGCCGTCGACTGCGCTGCCAGCAGCACACATACAAACATTTTCATCAACCGAGTGCGGGGGGTTGTTTGCCATGGTGGCCATTGCTGAGGCTGCAATGTGCACTTTTCCAGCCTTCCTGGCACAGTTCTCTGGCCAGTGACCAGGTGGATGGGTGCTTTTCGTTCGTATTTCGCTGCTAATTAAACATTTTCAGCCATCAGAAGTTCCCCACAAAACTCACGCACACACACACACCCTCGCACGCACATGAGCACGGGGTAAAAACTCACTGTCGTCATAGGAAATGGAGCCGCGCACGTTTGTTAAATGATCGAGATGTATCCATAAAACCACGAGCACGAGACTTCCGAGCTGGCTTATTTATTTTAATTTCTGTGTATTTATTCCTGTGATTTCTTTCTCCGATGTCTGCGTTTTTTCCGCGACCTGGCCGTTCGATAAAAACATCGATGGCACCTATCGATAGCCCGGATCGGATGCGACCTGGCGACACATCGAATACCATACAGTCGATTGCCGTCTTTGTTCCGAGTTCGTCGACATCTTGACCTTCGATGGTGGAACTAACGGTAATACGACAAAAGGAAATTTTAAAACGAATATTTAAAAATAATACTACATATTTTCAGACATCCTTGTATATAGAAATCTAAGGAAAACCCTTACACATTAAAAGTTAATATTCCTTATACCGTAATTATTATCTTAATAACCATTTCCATTTTGCATTATCTCTTACTTTTCCTATCTGTATCATGATACAATTATAATTTTTATAATATATGGTCGATAGTGTGTCCACTGCATCGAGTGTGGCCTGTATGCTGCGACGCAAACACTTAAACGCGAAACTATTCGATATATCGATACCCACTTCAGTAGTAGTGTTTACATCTCTAATGCCAATTGGCAAAAAAGAAAAGAATCTCGCAATATTGGTTTTGTTGTTTCAGCCAAAGTTATTTTTTAAGGTAGCAATTCGATAGCGATGCCCGTGCGCAAGTACCGCCGCGAGACCAGCGAAATAAGCTGCTGTCTTAAGTACCTGCTGTTTGCCAGCAATGTGATCCTTTGGCTGGCGGCCCTGGTGGTCCTCTCGGTGGGCATCTGGGCTTGGAGCGAGAAGGATATGTTCAGGAACATCGCGCGCCTGCACTTCATTGCTCTAGATCCGGCCTTTGTGTTGATCATGTTGGGAGGCGTCGCCTTCCTGCTGGGCTTCCTTGGCAGCGTGGGTGCCCTGCGAGAGAACACTTGTCTCCTGGCAGCGGTGGGTATTCTAAATATTTTGGTCTCCTTAGCTTGGCTAATCTCCTCTTTACACCGCCAGTACGCCATATTTTTGAGTGTGCTGCTCATCGCCGAGATCGGCTTCTGTGCCCTGGCTTTCGTGCTCAAGGACAAGGGCTGGGTAAGCGTAATCTCAACATATTTGTATTGCACTGCTTATAGAACTGTGTGTTTCAGATCAAGGATCAAGCCACCGAGGGCCTGAAGGCCTTTATCAGGCATTATCGCGAGGACGCAGACCAGCAGAACCTCATCGACTGGATCCAGGAGGACTGGTTGCAGTGCTGTGGTATCGATGGGCCCAAGGACTGGGACAGTAACAACTATTTTAATTGCTCATCCATTGCCATTGGCAGCCGGGAAGCGTGCGGCGTGCCCTTCTCTTGCTGTCGCCGACGTCCCCAGGAGGTGATCAAGAATAAGCAGTGCGGCTACGATGTGCGCAAGGAGGGATACGTAAGTTGCTCAGTTCTGCCTAAGCCATCATCTATCATATTCAATCTCCAAGCGCTGCTCTTGTATTAATTTAAATTTTGTAAACGCAAGCAGCCCGTGGATAGGAATATACATGAGCGCGGATGCTTGCGCGCCGGCGAAGATTGGCTGGAGGCTCATCTTATTAGTGTAGCAGTCTGCTCTGTGAGCCTGCTCGTTATGCAGGTGCTAACACAAATAATACTTGGTCCTTTTTTCGTTTCTTAAATTTGAAATAATTGAAATTTAATTTGGTTTATATATTTTTTTTCTTAATTTTATAGCAGCTTAGTTAATACCAACTCAAAAATAGTAATATGGTTATACAAAATCTTAATATTTAAAACATTTAACATAACTATATTAATATATAATCATTCATATTGGCCCGTCAATTTAATCCTAGAAAATATAAGTAAGATATATAGAGAGCGTATTCTGTGATGTAGGGTCTGCATTTTTTATGGTCGAAAAATTCGACTGTATTTTCTTTTTGTTTTTAATTTATTTTTTGCGATATTTTGTATATTTTACCAGGGCATGGAACTGTCCAGGATAATTTATGAAAAGGGATGCGTCCAAGCTGGCGAAGAATGGATGGAACACAATTTAATTATTATTTCCACTGCCGTTATTGTTGTGATGTTTTTCCAGGTCTTTATTTAGCCTATTTTTATTTATTCCAATATATTTGAGGATTGAGGTGGGTGTTGGGGTGGCGGTGTATTAACCCAATTTTCTGAGCACGTCCTACAATGGCCAAGTTCAGTGTAACATCTTCCAACAGGTGAAAGATCTTTTCTGCAGCTGTCCGACACTTGCAGCCTTAGCTTGCAGGGCACACACACAAACCGTAAGAGTACACTTAAAACCTATTAATGCTGGTCTCACTGAGGTCTGAGACTTCACCTTTGGGAGTTAACCCTTCTAACCTAAACTAATTGGTTTTTCTTAACACGAAGATCTGAATAGGGTTGTGCCTCTGTAACCATTGCATTTATTTGATTTCCTAGATCCTGGGCATTTGCTTTGCTCAAAACCTGCGCGCCGATATCTACAACCAGAAATCAAAGTGGCACTGACAAATGGCCCTTGCTGTCGTTCCCACAGCACTCTAGAAATGGATGAACGGAGGAGGACCTCGAGCCGGAAACTAAAACTACTCATCTACGCTTCGGTTAGTTAACTACTACTATAAATACCTTATCTACCCAATACGCTCCTGCAATCGCCAATATACAGCCGTAGCTATGTGTCTAACTATAGCGAACGCATTCCGTCTTCGTGGACAATGACTTACATATATTAACTAGGTTGCCAAATTGTTTGCTGTTCTTACGTCGGCTTCTCTCTGCCCGAAAGCCAAACTGAGAAACAAGTGCAAAACAGTTTTATACATTTTCTATACATTTTACAATGAAAAGGAGGCATACGAAAAGCGAAAGAAAAATTAACTCAAAATGCAACTGTGATATATTTTTTAACGAAATGTATAGAGAAACGAACGAACAATGAAATGCAACAATTTTTAACAAATGATAAAAACTGAACACGACGCAAAACCCATTCTTAAACCGAACACAACTTCAACCTAGCACCGCAGATGTCTGTCTTAAGTAATAATCGTTATTTTTATAACTGAAAACTAAATACCTTTTTTATGTGGCACAAATACCGAGATATAAGAAGTACCAGCAAAAGCAAGTTAGGTTCGGCAAGTGGAAGTTTTTATACCCATGCCACGTCCAAATCTCGAATCATTTGCTTTAGCTTAAGCCTTAAAAACATCAATATTCGATTCTGAGCCATTTGCTCGTATGGCAGCTGTAGTTTATAGAGCCAAGTGTAGTTTCATCCTTGAGCTTTGTACCTGCTTGGAAGGGTATTATTTAATGCATGGTTAGTCAATCCAAGGCCGATTACCAGGGACCTTATCTGTCCGCGATATTTAAACAATGAGCGGAGAAACCGAAAATCCAACCAAGTAAATTATAATATACACTGCAGAGGTATAATAAACATCAGTTTGCTTTTTTAAAATGAGCTTAAACTACAAAGATGCTTAAAGAAAACAAAATGTAGGAATACACACACATGTATATTTTCTGTTTTGCAAAGATCACAAGAAGCTTATGCAGTTCTGGGTTAATTATGGGTAATAAGTATTTTTTACATTTTGTTCAAGAGCCAGAAGTGTTCACTTTTTCATCTTATATGTCGGACTTATCAAACTGTTAACGTAAGAAATTAAAAAAAAACTGTCCAGTATTTGATTTTAAAGAGCCTGGAAATCCAATTAACTGCCATATATAAGCACTTTTTAGTCAGATATTTCTGCCTTTAGTAAAATTATTCCACAAATTCTGAAGACTAACCCAGTCTGTCCATGTATCAATGTAAAAATGCCCTGATATTATTATCAATTTGATAAATTTGTCTTTATTTAAATATGAACAGAAAATGAAAACATTGCATCTACATTTTTTAATGATATTTTACAGAAAGAAATTATGAGAAAAACATTCGAACAAATGTAAAAACGTATTGTAGTTAACCTTAGATAATATAATAGTAACGAAAAAAGTCAATTGAAAGCGTGCTGCAAAATAAACGCGAAGTCAAAGTCAAGCACACTAACAATTTAAACATTTAGTTTTAGAGTCATACAAATTAGAAGATGTATTAAAAGCTTAACAAAGGTTGTTGTTGATGCAAATATCAATCAAAACTGCTTCAAAATAAAAAGTAACTAAACTAATTGATTGGCCTTCATTTAAGAGGAACATCTCCGGATTCTCCATCCAGCTGAGCCACTGCATCAAACTGCACGGCGGGCAGGTCATCACCCGTTGCCGTTTTATTGGCCCGCTGATACTCCAGTATGACGAGAGAGTTTGAGCCCACCTTCAGGACTTCGTTGGGCACATACAGAGTGATTTGGGGACCGGCCACCGGCCAGTAGCGTCCCAGATTAAAGCCATTCACATAGGCCACGCCCTTGCCCCATCCAGCCATGTTCAAGTAGGTGTCGCCCACCTCCTCAACGCTAAGGGTGCCCGTGTAAAGAATTGGGCCGTTCCGAAGAATGCGCTGCCTGGCCAGGAACGAGTCCAGCCTGATCTCCTTTTCGCTCTGCCCTTCTTGCCAGCGTTTAATAGATGTGTCATCTAAGGGGAAGGCTGTGCTCCGCCAGTTCTCTAGCGGCAGATAGCCACCGTTGTGCAACTGCAGACTCACATCGCCAAATATGCCCTTTGTGTCGTTGGATATATAGAAGTTTACGCGTCCTTGGTTCTCCACCAGCAACTGAAGGGTGCTACCCCACCCCTTGCTGAGGGGCAGCGAGTAGATCTGCGCCTCGCGAGAGAGTGTGCCCACCAGCTCCATGTCCACGAATACGTGGGCGCGGTCATTGATTTGCCCTATTTTTAGCAGAGCCGGGTCCAGGTCCATGTCGGGCAGTTCCGTTTCGTAAAGAACGAGTCCGGAGTACAAATCGAGTTCCTCGAAAGTTTTGGGCTTAACTGACTCTACAGGTGTACCCTTAGAAAGAGCTGCTCGTCCCTCCGCTGAGAGCAAAGCCAACGATGGAGTTAACAGCACCTTTCCATAGGCCAGACGCTTGGCGGGATTTAACGTGATGTCTGGCAAAGTCAGGAACTGGCCAATTGCCTCCTTTACCAGGTTATACTTTGTGGTCACTCCTCCGGCCTCGTCCATCACGGCATCATAGTCGTAGCTTGTGATGTCAGCCGCATAACCGAGAGCTCCGTCCAAGTTATAGTTAGCTCCGGCCGTAAAACCGAAATTGGTGCCACCAAAGAACATGTAGAGGTTGACACTGGCGTTGTAACTAAGAATGGTTCTGGAATTGTTCGATAAATGGTGAGTAAGACAGGCTTTTTAGAATAATAATGGTTGCAATCTCGAGAAAGTGACGTTAAATTATTTTTGCCGCATCTTTTGAAAAAATTTCATTGGCATTAAAATTATTTAAGCTAGACTTACTTCAGAGCATTGGCCACCTCCTGGCCATCCCGTCGTTGGTTTTGCTCCTGCCAGTGAGTCAGCCAGCCAGGATAGAACTCTGAATTGACTAGTGGACCAGTGGGCTGCTGGACACGCAACATTTTCCAGATTTCGTCAATTTCGTGGACTAAAAAAGAAAAGGGGTGGAGCCATCAAATCAAAGCATTTCACATAGCTATAACAAATTTTATCGCGTAAAGCGTAACTTTTACTTTACTCACTGCGATCTATGCCGAAGTCTGTGGTGGCAAACACATTTTCGATCTTGCCGCAGCTCATCTTCTCGTTGGGAATGTCAACCGTAAAAAGCAGGGCATTTCCGGCCACATACTTCTCCGTCTCATCTCTCAACCAGTTGAGATAGTCGTGGTCGCAGGCGTAGTCTCCGTACTCGTTCTCCACCTGCACCATGATGATCTTGCCGCCATTTCCAACATACAGATGCTCGAGGCGTGGCATTAGCTGTGCATACCATTTGCCGACTTCGGCAATATAGTTGGGGTCGTTGGTCCGCATCTTAATGGTCGGGTATTTGGTGAAGAGCCAGTGGGGAAGGCCTCCCTATAGGAAGAACATGATTAAGAAGATGCCTATGATAATTCCGCTGCAAACTCACGTTATCCCGCTCGGCACAGATGTAGGGACCTGGACGGAGAATAATGTAAAAGTCCTCCTCCTGGGCAATCTCCAAGAACTTGACCACATCTGCTATGCCCTCCCAATTATATTCACCATCGTGGGGATTGTGAAGCGACCATTCCACATAGCTAGTAAGTAAGTTAAAGAGGTTTTTAAATTCAAAATAAAATTAAATAAAATACGAGATATGGCTTAGTTCATAAACCAAATAGGAACAGGCCTGAGCTTTTTACTTATATTTATACCCTTGCAGGGTATTATAATTTCAGTCAGAAGTTTGCAACGCAGTGAAGGAGACGTTTCCGACCCTATAAAGTATATATATTCTTGATCAGCATGAACAGCCGAGTCGATCTAGCCATGTCCGTCTGTCCGTCTGTCCGTCTGTCTGTCTGTCCGTCTGTCCGTCTGTCCGTCTGTCTGTCTGTCTGTCTGTCTGTCTGTTTCTACGCAAACTAGTCCCTCAGTTTTAAAGCTATCTGAATGAAACTTTGCATAGAGTCTTCTATATGCTCTCACTGCTATATATGTCGGAACGGGCCAGATCGGACGACTATATCATATAGCTGCCATACAAATGTTCGATATATTTGTAGAAAAAAAATTATAACTTTGCTGTTTTTCAACATTTTAGCACCATTTTTTAGATATGGCCATTTTATATATATATATTTCAGAATTTTGGTTAAAATTTTATGAAAATCGGACGACTATATGATATAGCTGCCATAGGAACAGTCGAGAAATAAATAGGAAAAAAATTATTGTTTCGTTGTTTTTCAACGTATGTTTATCTACTCTGAGATATAAGCTTTTTTTATTATTCTAGAATTATGGTATAAATTTCATAAAAATCGGACAACTATATCATATAGCTGCCATATAAACCAATCGGTAGATGTAGAGAAAATGTAAAACTGGGAATGTAAAACTGTAACTGTCAAACTGTAAACATAATAAGTATAGGTAACATGTAATGAAACTCTGTTTTGTGAGTGTTTTCAGCATTTAAATCTATAATATAAACCTCAAAACCAATCTGCAAGGGTATACAAACTTTGGCGTGCCGAAGTTAGCTTCTTTTCTTGTTTTAATTATATTTGAACTCATCTAAAACAGCCCTGATATGTTGCATATACACAGTAGGTATATAATTTTAGCTTCTATAATCTCTACGATCTGTACCTTGTACCATATGAGATTTAAGGAGATAAAGAAAGCTGTATTTACTTACGTATCCAGAGCATTCAGGCCAGATGCACGCATGGTGCGCAGTCGACTCCGCCAGGCCTCTGGCACAGCGCGGAAGTAGTGGAACGATCCAGAGACGTAGCGGAAGGGTTGGCCATCCAGCATAAAGGTATTGGCTTCATGGTCGATCGTAAATCTGGGCGAGTCCTGTGCGAATTTATTCAACCAGCTTAATTCGATTAAATAATTGTTTTCAATTGAATAACTCCGACTTACGTCGCGGGCGTTGCTGTCACTTTTCAGGCCGACACAAAGGCCTACGGTGAGGGCAATAACTGCGAGTACCAGACAGCAGCTCACGGCCATAGTCAGCTTTCGATTGCCCCAACAGCCGCGAATCATAGTACCTGGTAGTCAAAAGCGACCACTGAAAGTTCAAAAAGATGGGGAAGACCAAGCTTAAAGCTTTGCCAGAACTGGATTGAAAGAGGCGCCAATATTTGATGACCGTTCTGCAGTACCGACCGAAGCACAATGAATGTCAAGCGATACTCTGGGCATATGGGGTGTGATGGCTAGTGGCACTTTGGACGCCTCCTTCCCGGAGGTCTGATAAGTTTGCTGGCTTGCTTCTTGAGTGGCTGATAAAACTGCACATTTCTCTGGCGAACAAATTCGTTGTGATACTTGCCATCAGTCAAAGTGGATGCCCAGTTTATTGGCCCTTCACATTGCCGCCATAAACAAATCATATCAAGTGGGGATTAACGCTGAAACCCTGATAAGTGTTGTTATTATTTCCAATCATTCCCTGATTATATTAATTGGGTTAGCATTGTGTTTTCCTAGTGCTATAATGTTAGTCCATATTTAGGCTTCCTATGTAGGAATACTGCCAGCTTTAGTACTGTCCATCTTTTCCTTTTAATTTCTAATAAAAAAAGGGTTTTGGATATCAATATTTTATCGGTATTTGCTTTATTTTTACTTCAGTATCACTTACAAAATTGCAAAAATTATGCATTCTTAGGGTTATTCCTTTATAGTTACCCTTCTGGGCATATTTTATTTTTTTGATTAATGTATATTGTCCGATCTATAGTTAAGTAAGTTAATTAGTGAAATGGAAATTAAGTACTAGACTTTGACAGTGTCAGAGTGTGAGATGGCTCTTGGAGAGTTTCCCATAAATAACAAACAGTAAGTATGCTCTCTGACTCACCATTCACCTGCTATTTAGTTAATACAACTGAGTTTTCAAAATAAAGTAAACTCTTTATTTAATGAAAATGGTTTTGATTAAAAAGTTTAAAACTAAATCGAAAACAATACTTTCAAGAAATGCTCTCTATATATATATATTGAGCTTTCCAATATCAAACGAATACATATAGTAAATTGAAATCTTTTTATTTTATTAACCGTAAACATAAAATAAAGAGTTTACTTCATTTTGGTAAAAACATGTTGTAGCATACGGACATATTTAATTATTTGTGCAAAGGTTAACTTATTCAAAGTAGGCTTCGGGTAAGGATTAATCAATATTTGAACTGTAACATAATGTGCTTCAGGCTGAGGTAGAGAGACAGCACTAAATTTAAGGTTGCGGAGGGTCCAGAGATAATCGGAGATAGTTGGGCATAGATGTATCGTTGGAAAAGTGTTAAGGGGATTACGTGGTTATAGTTAAGTACTTGAGTTGAGCAGTCTTCGTAAAATACGTGCACTGTATGGAACATTTTGGATTATCTTTAAGCACGAAAATATAATACGTTCCGACTCGATGCATATTTTCATTCGCGTGTTACGAGCTATAAAACAGAATAAATAAATAAATACTATTAGCGCCACATTTTACTTTTCGTTCATCATGCTAAACTTGTCGGCCATCAGCGTTAGCACTTTTTCCAATTTGCTGTGACGATCCTCAGCCTTGGCAGTGGCTCCAGAACTACCCCAAAGGAATTTCACATGGAACTCGGTGCTGCAAGGAAAAAAGAGGATTGTTAAGGTGTCCCCTACACATACATTTCACTGGCATCTCACCGGAAAGCGTCTGCAAGGAGCTCATCCAGTCTGGTGCTGGCTTCCTCTAGAATAACCTTGGCATTCTTTCGGAACAGATCCAGGTTCTTGAGGAATCCCCGAGAGGCATCCAAATGTAGGAAATTGATGGTCATGCCAAAGTCATCGGCCTTGGACTCCCAAGGAGCTATGCAGGTGTGATATAAAGCCGGGCGATCGTCAATGTTCGAGTGATTTATAATGTCCATGACGGGACGATCGATTAGCAGGGCGTAGAGCAGGACATGGGGTACGGTCGTATTGGGAGCCTGTGGATTGGAAGCCTCGTTCATGCTGATCAGTGTAGGACGCAGCTTGGCCTCAAAGGTGAAAGCGCTGTCCGTGAATTGCTGCCTCAGGATGTGCCAGGCTTGATCAAGCTTTTGGATCTGCAAGTGGAGGGACAACATGTGAACTCTTTCTTTATTGGATGTAAACTTGTAGAACACTCACCTGCTGCATGCACAGTCCCAGCATGATGGCACTGAACCCAAACAGATTCCCCAGGGCCGTCTTTGTCTCAACCGCAATCTGAATCCACTTGCTGAGGAGCTGGGCCCGGTCCAAGTCCGTTTGACAGGTTAGTATGGTTACAGCCACCATCAGCTTGATGCACTGTGTCCGCTCGATGATGTCCTCGCGAAAGAGCTTGCCATGGGGCAGTGTCAGCAGCTCGATGCCTGAGCAGCTCAGATAGTAATCGTCCTCGTTGGTCGGTTCCTCTAGGAACAGTCCAATATCGATGCGGGTTATATGTTCGGCCAAGAGCTTAGGACCAGTCTCCAGGAGCATCATTTTAAAGGTGTTCAAAGCATCGCCGTCCAGGGGCTTGTTTTCCACGGAAGGAAGCAGCAGAGTGCTGAAGTTCTCAAAGTCGAATTTGCTTGCCTGCAAAATAATTAAAATATACATTTATTGTTGATTTGAAAAATATATATTAATTAAATTAAACAAGTCATTTAACTAACCGTTCTTGTTTCCTCAATAGCCATGGTAAACAGCTGCTCCTCGGCTGCATACGCATCGAACTCTGTGAAGCTCTTCAACGTCCCATTGGAGATGGAGCTGGTCATGAACCTCGGATTCTTGATGATCACTCCCCGCTGAATGCTCATCACTTCGCTGGCATCACCCAGAGCCGAGTCCCCAGAACCGTTACCCGAGTCCGATCCACTGGCCTGGTAGGCCAGCACAGCGGCCATTGGTTCCTTTCGTGGCTTGGGCGGTGGACTGGGCGGCCTGGAGTCTGTCGGCGGTGAGTCCATGCTACAGTTTCTTCCAAGGCTCGAAATCCGTGCCGCCGCCTGTTGTCGTAGCGTCTGGGAGGCCAGAGTACTGGGTCGTGGCAGAGAGTGGGTAGTGAATTTGCTCTCCAGATGCTGCTGCTGCTCACTGGTGGGGTTGCACCTGGCGATGGTCTGGAAGCGTGTCAGCCCGTTGCCATTTCCGTTTGCTAATTCCTGCAATTGCTGTTGCTCCTGCAGCTTGTTTATGTTGCTCACCACCATGGCCTGGGCGGGAGTCAGGCTTTGGGAGCGCTGCTGCTTCTTGCATGGAAGCCGCGGTGGCGACGGAACTTCACGTCTGGCCCGCGGAGGCGAGCAGTGTGGGCTGGCCGGGGAGCCCGGTGGCTGCTGCTGCGAGGGATCGAAGCGGAAGACACCGGCACTGCCTGATCCTATCCCCACGTTGCCACTATTGCCCATCGGAGAGTTCAGGGGACTTAGACCACGGAGGCCGGCCAGCATTTGGGTGTGCAGCTGATTGCCCACGATCTTGTGGCCGTAAAAGGAGAGCGGATAGGTGCGATTGCAGGGGAACTGTATAAGAGCGCCCGAAGCTGCTGATATGGGCTTGCCGGAGCCCACGTAAAAGGTGATGAGGTCGGGGACCGTGTCAAAAGCATCCTCCTCAAACTGGAACTGCACGCGCTCATACACAGTTTCCGGTTGAAGTACCAACTGAAAGTGAAGGAATTTATAGAAGTTCAGAAATTAGACTGGTATACTTTTCGGCGGCCATTATTTTCTTTAGACTTCAGTTCATTTCTCGCATAAACCGGAAATGAATTCCTTTCCTCAACATGTTGATATAATATGGAACCCACCTTATTGAGAACAAAGTGCAGGACAGCCGCCTTGCTCCGGCAGCTGAGCACATAATTATCCGGCTGAGAGGCGCAATCCCGGACCAGAAAGTCTCCCTCCCGCTGAACGATCTCCTCCGCGCGCTGGCGTGGCAGGGCTCCATGATACCAGGCATGCGAGCGCAGCTCTCGGGCATCCAGGCTCAGCTCCCACTCAAGTGCCTTCTTCAAGGCGATGGCTTCCTGCTGCTCGCTTGGATTCGGATGTCCGCTGGCCAGTGGCGTGGACGCCTTGCTGCCGTTGTAATTATCCATCTCACAGTCGCCGATCTGCCAGTGGGGGCTATTGTCCTTGCAGCGCGGTCTCAGTTCCTCGTAGCTGTTGAAAGCGGGAGAGTTAATTTCCCTTATTTTGGGTAATTTATTGCCAACAACGGGCCAATCCCCTCACTTGCGGCCCGAAGGAAATTTACTCCCACAGGATTTGGTCCTTGGTATATGAAGATTTTTTTGTTTGAAGTTCAAGAGCAAAAAATACAATTCAAATTGTAGTAAATTTTACCTTGTGATTAATAAAAGGTCTTGTGTAAGGCAGAAGAAGAATTAGAATCCACTGATTTTAAAACTGAGAAGCTTTCTTCCGAGTTATCAAGTCACAACGCCCTTTGGGTTGAATGCTTTATAATCACCTCAAAGTTGGGCTAGGATACGCCCTAACATGTTTCGTCCTTGTCCTAGCTGTTAGTTTGCAGACACCATTCGATTCAAAGTTTAAAATGTGGCTCTAAAAACCATCTAAAATATATTTTTTTTTATCACAGACCCAGCCCTTGAACGTGAATACACTTTCTAGGCCTTCCTTTAGATTGCAAACGTCTGAACTCTGCGCTGCTCGATTCCGCTCTGAAAATGTAACGGCAATGCCCTCCCTTCGAGTGTCCTTACAAGGGTTGCTCTCTGCGCCCTGCTTGCTCCTTGCTACTCCGCCCGGTTTGTTTTGGTTTTTGCTTTCGAATTTCTACGCCGCTTTAAGTCCTTTTTGGATGGGAAATTCTTAGAGCATGCGCAGGCTTTCCTGTTATCGATATATGTGTATTTAGATATGCACTTGGGGAGTAGCGAAAATCAAACAGGGAAATTGTGGATCTATATTCTATAACGCCAGACTTTTTCTTTCTTAATTAATTAAAATAAATAGTAATTTTGAAAAGGAGAGCGTTTTTGTAGGGAATGCTCTAAAATTTAGTAGGAAATTTAGTAACACTCACATTGTAGATGTATCGTCAAAGTTGAGCTGCTTTAGAACCTTTCCGCTTTTGGTTCTGATCACTCCGGGTCCACTATCGCCGCTGCCCGCCATATCAAGAGGGCTGATCTCCCCCAAATACACCAGCGGACAGGAGTTCTTGCGGGTGGGAACAGCCCGAGGCACACTGCTTGCTACTGGGAGTTGAAGATCAGATTTGGGAAACTTACCTATATCTTAGATTTGGACTTGCCTTCCAGGTTCATAGATTGACGCCGCTTGGCCCGCACCCCTAGCAGACTATTGGCCATTTTCTGGCGATGAGAGCCGCGCACACCGCATTTCTTGAGCTCCTTATCCGTTATTTCCACCACATCGTCTACGATGCTGAACTCCTGAAGGTTGCCTACGGTCGAGCAGGGTTTTTAGTTAAGGTCGGAGCTCTAACTGATGATTCAAACCTTCATATTGCTGCAGATTCAGGAGATCCAGCCACTCGACTATGCTCATTCGCGAGTTGTGCACCATCACGGCCAAGTCTTCCCGCCGACGCACTGTGCTCGGGTACCGGAAGTTCCACAGGATGCCTTTGGAAAGGTTTCGGATTATTAAAAAAAACATGGAGTGTAGCTGGGACCGCGATTCCATCACTCACTACTTCTTCGATTTACGGGTTCTACGGGTCGCGGCTGGACATTGCCCATTGTGAAGCAATAGTGTCGGATGCCACACGCACAGATCCGTAAAATATACAACTGGTATCTTTCAATAAGAACTGTATCTTTTTCGGTTCGCACTCAACCTCGCGCTGCGCTTTGCGTCAAATAACTGAACGTGAGCAACTGAAAGCCAGCGGAATTCAACTGAATGGGAATAGTTTTGGGAATCAGTGAAGACTGTATACCCTGCTATACTTTAGATATAGTATAACATAATATAAAACAAATATTAGGAAATTGATAGAGTTATTTAAAAGGCTAATATAAATATTATCTTTATTTAATGTTTACCTTTAGTTTAATTTTACTTTCAGTTCCATTAAATACTTGACCTTAGCTTTAAAGTCAACCTACATTCTCCCCAGATGATAACCTGATTAACAATGAACCAAGTGTAAGTAATACTTCAATGTCGTTGTGGATCAACCCACTGGATCAACACTTTTTGTCTAATTACTGCTCTCCGGAATACTCTTCTCTCCGCGCTTGACCACCACGAACTTGAATGCTTCCCCTCCGTCTGTTCTAGGCATATCGGCTTTTATCGTTGTCTTGATTAGGAGAAGGTCTCTCCGTCGTTGTCGCCACTTCTCATATTCTGCTGATCGCAGCTATATTCCCTTAATTAATTTTTTTTTCCGTTGCGTTATGTATGAAAGTGGCATTGCGTATTGATAATACTGCTGTATTCTGTGGAATTGTGGGGCTTTTGTTTTCTTTTCGGAGAGGCAAAAAGACACAGCGTTCGGACAAGTTGTAGTGTTATTTACTTTGACATTTATTTTAGAATAATTTATGTTTAACAAATGAAGCTTATTCGTATTTCAATAATTTAATAATAATAATTTATACACATCCTTATGGCGATACATCTGTAGAATGCATGTAAAAGTACGACTACTCGACCACATCAATTACTATGTTATCATCATCGTCGTCGGCCTGCTCGCTTAACGCCACGCTGGAGGAGCTGTCGGAGCTGTAGTCGAGGGCCTCGTGGGCATTTCCAGCTCCCGGAACACTGGCCCCCTTAGAGCCTCCACTGCCTATTCCTGCACTGGGTGCAGACGTTGGCTGCTGGTGCTGTTGGGGCTGCTTCTCCTGACCGCTTTTCAGATTCTCCCGCGTATGCCGCCACTTCATGCGACGGTTTTGAAACCACACCTTGACCTAATACGTAATAGAGTTGATAAGTAATTAGTAAGTTATATATTTTTATTTTTAGAAACATAATTTTATCGTATTTTGCAAACGAAAAGCTTTACTCTACTTTAAAAATAATAATAATTGTAATAATATTTGGTACAAAGTTAACCCAGTGAATCCTGAATCAGACAACTTTAAAAGCTTTTATAGAACCCTTTTGCTCAAGTATATCCACTAATTTAACTTTCCACAATCTGAAAAACCCTATTTCCTCACCTGGGCGTCTGTGAGGTTGAGTCGAGCTGCCAGCTTGCGGCGATCTGGCTTGGTGATGTACTTCTGCTGCTGGAACTGAATCTCCAGGCCCTTTCGCTGCAGATTGGTGAAGACGGCCCGTGACCAGGAGCGCTTCCGTTTTCCATTATTGCCGCCGCCGTTGCAACCATTGTTGCCATGGCTGCCATTTTGGGGTGTGGCATCGGCAGGTGTCGTGGTAGTGTGGTCCAGGAGCTGCTGCTGCGACTTGCCCAGAAACCGCTGTTGCTGCGTACACTGGAGGTTCTTGAGACTATGAAGGGGCGCCAGCAGGCCCGAGGCTGCTATCGTCGAGCTATGTGGCGGAGGCTTGTGTTGCTGATGGAGGTGCTGCTGATGGTGCTGCTGGTGATGTTGATGGAAGCGGAGGAGCGCGTTTGTGGCCAGCGTGGGATATGTGGATGTGGCTGTTACGGTGGATGAAAAGAGGGAAGACAAATGAAATAACACGATACATTTCAGTTACTTGACAAACTCAAGATGTTATAATTGTTATAATATCCTCTTGATATAAGCTTAATATATTTATATTTAAAAAAAATATGAAAATGTCAATGACTTTATTTAATTTCAGTTAATAATAAACAAAAATTGGTTAGAGATAGTTATGGCTTTTTATTATTGTTATCTTATTTTGTTGCCAAACAATATTGTTTTTTGTTCTTCCGCTGCTTAGTTTACACAATCCATCGATTATTTATTTTTATATGGCGAACCCCATTACTTATGGGGCGCATCCTCCCGGCCCTACATCCGGGGGAAATAATATATTTTTTGTTGAACAAAATTTACGAATTTCCTTATTCACAGAAGTCGCAATCCCAAAAACAATAATATTATTTCTCTCTGGCTGAAAATATGAAATCCGAATTTTCTTTGTTTGAGTAAATTATTTTGTTCAATGAAACTCACGTTGAAAATATTTAAATTAGTTTGTTTATAATAAAATTTTCACTTAATTGGAAATAATCATTGAGGCATTTTTGTGGCCGCGGGGCGAATACCCAATTGTTTACCCCACACACACACGGGAATCAGAACAACAACAATTATCGCTAAGAGAGCGAAAATTATTTGGGGTAATCGAGCACAACATGGGGCACACGAGGTTAAGCCGAAAGCCAAATGCTTTCTTTTGGCTAAATGTTTTTTAAATATCTGAATCCATGCATATATAAGTTTTCAAAATCGTTGCCTTGTGGCAACTCCTAAACTAGTTTATGCATTTTTTATTGGTCTTTTCCATAAAGACTGTGTGCCTTGTTTGTGTGCTCTCGGCATGAGTCTAATTGTCTTCGTGGAGAGCGCTTTATTTACTCAAGGAAAACACTCTACGAGTCCGCCGTCTATTTACATTACAGCGGAAATGCGCCGCTGCACTGCTAAATGTATCTGTGTATCTGCATCGAGCCTGCAAAGGTTAATAACGCCTTAATTGGGCATTTGGCATTTGGTTTGTGTCAACCGTCGGCGGTTTGTTTTAATGAGTTTTTACCGATTTTCATCACCTGCCCAGGCCGCTGCCTCTGCACAACGCCAGCTCCTTAATTGCCTACTTCAAGATCCATTTGTAAATATTTTGTGCGCCCGCAGCCCGGTAAATATCTTAATGAGTTCTGATAATTGCGGGGCGTGATCTTAAATCACTCGTGCTCCATCCATGCGGATGCATTCCCCGAGAGGATGTGTTTGCACTGCAGGTATACTGCTATTTTTAAGTTCGTTTCGATTTATTGGCACGCCCTGACAGGATATTCCATATTTATGGCTAGGCGAATATTTCACGGCTCATTCCACCATATTGGGGAAAACTGCGAATGAACTTTTGGCTGAAGTTGAATGCTTTCTCAGAAACCATGCATTCCATGGATTGGGCCATCTGCTCCTGACTAGCCACGAGTTTACTTTACGACTTTTCGGTCAATTTATGCATTTTTATACCAAATATTCGTAGAGTATTGAGGTGTTTTGTAAGTGTATGACAGGATAAAGGATGCAATTTGGCATGAATTGCTGTGGGTTTGCTAGCAATGCAAATATTTTTAAAAAGTAATTCTTTTTGAATGAAATAATAAGTTTTTACGTTGCCCAGTGCCCTGCCTTTGATAGCAAACAGAATATAAATGTTTTATTGAAAAATTGTGGCTAAATACAACAATTTTTAAAGTTAAATAGCAATTTTTTTAAGTAATAACTTTCAGAATACTTAAAACACAAGACACACCTCATTATTTCCCTCACTTAATTTTAATTTTAAAATAGTACACAATACACCTGAATTCCTGTATTCTTCTTAAAGTCATCCAAGAATTTTTCCCATGAAGATCAGTGATTCGTGATTCGTTGGGCGCTAGAACGCAGTTCAAATCGGATTAACATACTTATAAATGGTTAATTAATTAGGCACACGGCGCCGGATTATTGCTCAGACAACATTTTTATATCAGAGAAGAATCTATTTTAGCTTAGCCATCGATCGGTGAATCGATCGATCGCAGACCAAAAAAAAGGGGAAACAATCAAACAAACTACTCAACACCAGGCGGGACAGACAAACAGCAACACAGAGTCGGAGAATACAGAGAGAGGAGAGAGAGAGCTGGAGAGCTAGGCCCGAGATTTTATGATGTGCGATGCGATAGGATCAATCCATCACGAAATGAGGAGTCTTCATAGGAGGCTGGGGGCCGAGCAGGTTGAACGCGGCAGGTAGCCTCCACGAAAGGCCACCCCAGTGGGTGGCTGTGTGTAAATAGTTGGCCTTTGGCTTGGCCCCTAAAAATACCGCTTGGCTTCCACAGACTCAATCATTCAGTTAGTCATTCGGTTAGCCCATCGGGCAGCTATTCTCCGTCATTAGCCTAAACGGCACCAGCACCTCAGCCCCACATCGGTTAGAGTCACAGTAGTTGGGCCTGTGGCGCCACATCTATCAGAGATCAATGGCTCCTTACGTACCAGGCCTACACATCTCCACCTGTACCTGTCGCTCCCGCTAGATAGCTCCTCACATCCTCACATTTTCTTTATCATCGTTTCTTTGCCCAATCTGTACAGAAACGGAACAATTCATTACAGAGGCCAATTAGACGGATAGCTATCTGTATCTGCCCATGAATGACGGACCAATTGCTCAAGCAAATAAACAAACTTTTTCACCCGTTCCGCGCCAACATCAAGTTTATTTTCAAAGTCTGATTCTTAATTTGTTCATAAATCGTTGTTCATTTTGGGATTTGTTATTTTTAATTTAATTTATTTAATGTGGCCACAGGATTGATGAAACCCCTTCAAAGGCAGTTTGTTTTTTTTACCACAGCGCTTGTTGATTGAGGAAATGTCGGATTTAATGCTCCTTACTAATTACCTCATTCATTTTCACCTCGGCAAAATGTGTTTGAAAACCGTTTAAAATTGATGATAATTTTTAATAAATTCTTTCGCAGAAGTTTATAGCTGAATTTATCTTTCCGTACAGCTTATTTTGAATATTTTAAAACCGGACGGGAAAAGTCTCAAAGGCAACCATTATTTTTCAGTTTAATGCTTTTATCCTGAAGTAATATATTATTTTGTTGGTACTTTAATAAAACTTTTAATTAATATTCAGTTAAATTTTAACAAATTTCTTTGATTTGTTAAATTATTGGATTATTTCTTTAAAACAGAGGGATAATACTCCACTTTAAGTACTCTAGTCCATCTAACCTGTCCGTTTGCTTGTCTTGCTATCTGTCTATGTCTATATGTCTGTGCGTCCATATGTCTACATGTCCAAATGTCTATATGGCTGGCTGAAAAATTCAGAAAAATCTTAGTAGTTCACCAAATTTTTAGGAAATAGTAGAAATAATTTTTTGTTTAGTGGTTGGTTTAGTGAAAGTCTTTTTTTTTTATTTAGTAAAAGGGATTTGTAGTTATTGTATTTTAATGTAGAAAAGAACCACATACATATAACATACAGCTATCTTTTTCGAAATGTTGTATTTTGAAGCACAATATTTATTTTTGTTTGTATTTTAGGAAGGTGGAAATTCAAATGACGAACAGAAAAGTAGAATAATAATGGTTAGATTGATTTGCTTACTGTGTGCTTTATTAAAAAAAAGTTCCTTAACCAACATAAAATTGGCTTCATTTTGATAAAAAAACTTTTCTTAAAAAACAAACAAAATTATCATAATTTCACTTGTATATCTATGTTTATATTCATGTTTTGTTAACATATTCCAAAGCAACAATCACCATCCCTCTTTTTGTTTATCGATAATAATTTCCAATAAAATGATGATATTACCAAGTCGTATTCTTTTCTTTCACAATCTTCGACAATATGTTGGCACATTTCCTGCCCACGAACCCGCCTTACCCATCCCTTACAATCATCGAAAGTCCTCAGACAGTTAGCACCCACTTGACAAGAATTGTATATAAAACAGAATGGGGGAAAAGGCTCCTCATACTATGTTGGCCCGGGATGCGTAAAATGGAAGCAGCTTGTTAAACAATGAAAATGTTATATTCGAAAACCCAACCACACACAGAATATACATATTTCTCACTATTTTTCTTATAAACAAGATCAAAGTGCAGTGCATGAGAAGTCGTCGTCTCCAGATATACAAAAGCAGCAGGAAGTAACGTAAATACTCGAAACATATAGAGATATTTTGTTGTCGATTTCAACAAACGAATTGTTTTCGTCAAAACCAAGGAGCAGGCAACATTTGGCCGCTGGAATATTGCACAATATGGCCACAGATCAAGTAATAATTCCAATAAAAATACTCGATTTATAGCCAGCGCTAGATTGGTCTTTAAGACTTCCCTTTTGCCTTTCCAGGAATGTTTCACTTTTGTCATAATACCCTGGCCGAGAGTTTTATGATTTTGACAAGAAGTTTGTGTTGAGGCATTTTTATACCCTTGCAGGGTATTATAATTTCAGTCAGAAGTTTGCAACTTCACTGCGTTCCGACCTTTCCGACCCTATAAAGTATATATATTCTTGATCAGCATCAACAGGGGAATCTTTCTAGATATGTCAGGAAGAAATAGATTTTTTGGCCATTTTTGGAAAATTTTATAAGGGGTTACATCATTAAAATTTTTGATTTTGATAAAAAATTGAATTTTCAAAATTTTTAATTGAAGTATGCAGATTTATTAACTGTAGAAAATCTTGCACAGAACAGTTTTCCGATTTAAAATTAATGCTCTTTTGGCCGAGTTATGATATTTTTAATTTTAAAAAATTATGAAGTTTTTTAATATATAAAATCTGATTTTATAATACAAAATAATATTTTGCTAAGTCAAGGAATCATTTTCGACCCCATAAACCATATATATTCTTGATCAGCATTAACATGCGAATCTTGCTAGACATTTCCGGAAGAAATCGATTTTTTGGCCATTTTTGCGAAATTTGATAAGGGGTTACATCATTAAAATTCGCAAAAATGGCCAAAAATTTTGATTTCTTAAAATTTTAAATTTGGTATGCAGTTTTTTTAAATTAATAAAAACTAACACAAAACTGCTTTCCGAATCGAAATTAATGCATTTTTGGCTTAGTTATGATATATTTTAATTGCTACCTGCAAGGATATACAAACTTTGGCTGGCCAAAGCTAGCTTTCTTTCTTGTTAAACTAATAAAATAATTTGTGTTTTGATTTTCATAGAAAAGAAGGTGTAATGGCCATGTAAACATTATAAAACAGTCTACGAAAAAAGAAAATTGGAAGCTGCCTATTTATTATGCATTTTCTTTGGAAAAGATTAGTAAAAAAGATTTAGTTACCGAAGGGTAATATTCTTTCGAGTAAAGTCGTATTTTTCTAACCTTTTATTATTGATATTGTACTATAAATATATTTATATTCAATTTTATTTTATCGGATTTCAAAGACATCTAAGATAACTCCGTATAAAACCCTTCAACCCTTCTTTTTATCGTATTTAAGGTAATTAAGGAACTAAAAAATTTCAATACTTGGCAGCGTTGCTTAAATTATGAAACAACGGGAGTTCTTTGAGGAAAATTGCCAAGCTAAGAACTCCGACTCTAGAAATATATTTTTTAGTACGCACCATGTTCTGCTGCCCGAATGGGTGTCGGTCTCAGTACCGATTTGTAATCCATACACATCCCAGGATATAATTTATCGAGTCCGACGTAGGAGTATAGATGCGATGCAGTTGCTGGCGCGGCGGCAGGATGTAGGAGCTGCCCGAGCTTAGGAACTTCTGCTTTTGCTTGGCTAAAGCAGCGCGGAAAAGTGCAGCAGGAGAAGGCATTACCGTCGCAGCAGGCCCATGACGCGGGGGAGGACGAAGGACTGGACTCGGAGGAGCCCAGCAAGCGATCAACGCTGAAGCTCAGCTTTACTTTGGTGGTGCTGGTGGTGGCGGGGGGCGACGTGCTGGCTGGGCCAGTGTCGGTTCTGGGGGCTAACTCTTCGGCAGGAAGACCGCGATCACTCCTTTCGGAGACAGTACAGTTCGCGGTAGGCGCCGGCACCTTCACCTCGCACATTTGAGTGCTGAGGTTCTCGGGCATACTCTGTTCCATGCTGGCGGCACTTTCGTGTAGTAACATTTCGTGGCTAATAGTTACATGTCAATTTGCATCGATCACCGAACACTTCGATCACCGAAGAAGTAAATAACAACGAGAAATTAATTTACACTTAACATGTCACTTGTGTATTTAGCCAAACGCCGTCGCTTGGAACTGAACAGAAAACTAACGAGGGATCGATCGGGAGACCCTAAGCACCGATGAAGCGCTTTGCAAGACAGCCCACACAGAACTGATCGGAACCGGCCGGGATCGATTGCCTTTGGCACACACCACACGAAATGATCGGCCGTTTAGGTAAATCTCCCTGAGATTGTATGTTCCCAGCATCCTACAGTGGGTCAGGAATTTATTATATGTGTAATTACATTTTGGGGAAATTAAATACAAGATTAATATAATCAATATGTGCAATTACATTCTATAATTTAGTTATCGGCGATAAAAATGTCTATATTAATATATAATATATTAAAAAATCTTGTACCCACTGTAAACCCATACGGATAGAAATCTTGGCATACAGTTCGCTTGTGTTTACACACAAACACGCCGCTGTGTCATTAGCTCGGCACAAAAATTGTTTCCTCAATCGGTGCTAAGTTTTGTTTACTGGATTTTCCATATGTTCCCGTACTCCCCACTCACACACACACACACACAGCGAGATCAGCGAATTCCGGTTCCCTTGTGCCCACAACATGTGGAGAAGCCATGGCTCGACGACTGGTGGCCAATGCGAACGATCCATTCCAGTGGGCGGAGCCAGAAGCGTGAGGTCGTGTAGCCGATGCGGAATCTCTCTGCTTGCGGGAGGAACGCGGGGCAAACCACAAAGCGATCTCCATTAACTCTATTAGTTCGCCAGTCCATACAGTGGGTAAAGGTGGTGACTGTAGAACCCCGATCTAATCACATTTTAAAAATAAAGTAGAAGACTGATTATTATGATCGAATTTGAATTCTGTATAGGTTCAGGTTCAATTGCAATATTCAAGGGTATACACAAACGTCGGCTACCCAAAGTAGTCAATATTTCTTGTTAGATTTAAAAGCCTAATCCTATCTCTTAATTGCTAGTTCCTTTTACATTATTCTACTTTCATCAAATTGAAGTTTAAAGGGGAAATTACTTAATTTAGAGGTTTTGTTTTGTTGATGTCGTGGGATACTTTTATTATTTAGTAGAAGTTAGTATTGGGAAACTAGCTGGCATTGTTTTTTATTCCAAAAAGTCAAAAATAAAATCTTTGCAGAAATCTGAATTTCGATTTATATATTTAGCAGGACAACTTTCTCATGCATTTGGTTATTCAAAAACTTCAATCTTATTAACTTCAATATATTAACGGCTACTATAAATGCTATAATAAGAATAATAATAATACTTCAGGGATATGAAAAAAATTTATTTTGTTAAATTTGCTACATAAACTTTAAGGATTTGAAAACTCTTCCCTTATTCCTTACCCTTCGCAAAAACAATATATGTATATATACCCTAGCAATCCACGGAAATCGCGTGTGGGAAGAGTAAGAATATACAAATTTTTAAGTGAAACTTGTGTTATATTGCGTTATTAATAGGAAGTCTGTCGTGACCGCCTTTAGCTTATGTACTTTCTGGCAGAAAACAGCCACCCCCGAGGGAGTATTCGGTGCCCAAACGTCCCAGTACCGCAAGCCCACAAATTGACCCAGAAAAAATCCGATATGCAAATGCACTCCTCAGGTAAAGGAAGTGAAAACAGGAAGCACACGCTTGAAGCCTGCGACATTTTTGATGCCCTAAAATCAAGGATATTAAGTGAAATATTTCTAATATAAATACTTAAAGGACTCAGGATATTTCGAAACTTCTCTGCTCCATATATTTACGTGGCAAAAAAAAAGTGTGAAATAAGTTAAAGTCCAATTTACAAAATTTAAATTTTAAAGACATTTATGTATTATTTAAATTCATCATACATTGGTTTCTTAAATTTCATTTTACATTTTTCTTGGATTGTTAACTAGTTGAAGGACATGGTAGTAGAAAAGGAAGTAAATGAAACGCAATCAAACAGACACGAACAGCACTCCTTATTAAGGAGAAATCGCAGGCGAAAGTTGCGGGGCAACTCAATTTAAGTTAGCCAAGGAACAGTACGTCTTACACACTGGAATGGAGTCGTTCTCGTCGTCCTCGACTATTCCGTCTCCACTGCTACGTAGTCTAGACGGAATGGAGAGTCCGGACATCTGCGAGCCGCCGCAGGAGGAAGAGGAGTTTTGCTTTCGATATCCGAGCTACATGTTTCCCGACGTGGAGTACAACAAGGAGGATGTGCCACTACCGTTTAAGGCCTCACCGGACTCACTGTTCAACCTGTGCGCCGCTGTCGTAGATTCCCAAGCCCGTACGGAGGTCTTTAAGTGGAGTATCAACGATGTGACCGACTGGTTGCGCAATTTTGGATATCCTGAATATGAGGTGAGAAGTCTGGGATCAAAGGAAGAGTCTCCAAATAGACCCTTTTGTGTGGTTTCCACTTTCTGTTATCACTTAATTTCGGTTAACAGGCGATTGTGTAATCCAATAATGTTAACGATCAAATTGACTGATATTTAAGTTATATTAAAAGTTAAAGCGATTGGTGCTATAACCTAATATTTAAAACATAATATAATAACCTCTAAAAACATTTTCCGTGTGGTATGTGCTCTTTTACGAACAGGAAACTTTCCGGGAAAACTATATTGATGGCCACAAACTACTGAATTTGGACGCCGTATCTCTGGTGGCCCTCAACGTAAAAAATTTCGAGCACATTCGCCATCTGGGCCGTGGGATTCGAGCTCTTTACCGCAAGGAGCTGCAGACTGCGACAGAGACTAAGCATCAGAGCGAAGTCTACAAGACCTTCCGGGCCCGCACTGGGCGGAGGTACGAAGGGTTGAGAGAGACGGAGCTCCTGGGCCGTATGCACATGATTCGGTCTGTTTTTCGGGATGTCAACGACTGGGATCTCATGGAGCTGCATCTCTCCCGGACACCGGTTAGGCGGTACCGAGAGGTCATTGCTGGATCCAGGCGCTACAGTCTTTATGGACCCTCTACAGCTCGCAGGGAGCCCATCATAACGGATGATGTTGATACCACAAATTGGTTTAACTTTGGAGATTGTTACTAATTGTTATTTAATTTAAGGATTCATTTTTATTTCATATATCATGGTTAGCAGTAAACTTGTATCGTTTGAGAAAGTGTTAAAGGAATGCGTGTTATTAAATTTTGAAAGAATATTCAAATATTCAATATCAAAGCTTAGATAGCTTATAAACATTTCGTACTTTGCCATTTTTTGTATCCTAAGCTTGTTTGTCCACTAAAGTTACATTTCTCTGTCATAAACAAAAATCACTCACTTTCCCTTAACCCGACCACTTCCCCGCCCCCGCCCCTCGGGGTTATTGATTCTGTCCAATCAGTCGACACGGCGCATTGATCACTTATCGCTCTCGCTTGTTGGCGTTCTTGTTGTTGTGGGCTGCTCGATCGCTCCGTTCCTGTTCGCGTCTGTTCACGTGTTTAAATTTATTGATTGTTCTCCTCACAAAACACGGCATGCCTAAGACTGCCTTTTTCCTCGTCCAGCGTGGAGCAATCTCGCCGAGCGGACTGGACTGAGTTCCCGGTGTCCTGCTGTGCAGCATGGGAGACGTACGTGTGGTCGGTTTAGTTATATTTCTCGACATCTTGTGTGTCCGTCGATCGGCTGGTTGGTAATACATAGCTGAGTTCCGAGCTCAGGCCGTCGAGACTGAAGCCCCGGCTAGATGCAACCGTAGACGCTGGATGATCGCTGCGGTGCCACACACTGCCAATGCAAATCGTCTTCAGCCTTTATTAACTTATGCGCATTCAGATTACCTTAATAACTCGTTCCGTTAACACTTTATTATGTTCAAGGCTCGTAAATCGTTCCATCACCCCGGACAAGGTATCGAGAGTCGGGAGGGTCTGCTGCTCTGGCCTGGCCTGTGAACCCTCACAAGTTCCCAAGTTTTCAAGACGACGTTGGCGATTATGATTTATCGCATTTTAATCAATTGAAAACGTTTAAACGATACGCATCGATGGGAAATTATGAATGTGTGGCTGTCTTTAGGCTCCACAGTAGGCCACCAATAACAACGGCGCAACCAACCGACGACGAGGCGAACCCAAGCCTGGCCAAGATCGTCAGCATGCGTTATCCGACGCGTAACTCGTTTGTATTTCACTCCCCAAGCCTCCACAGACTCTCGGGTTACCAGGGGTCTGGAGATGGAGATCCGAAAATTTACGCGCGCCACATTACCCACAGAGCAGGAGCGGACTTAAAGAGTCAAGAAAGCATTTTTAATCTGAGAGAAGGTCTTTCTGGTATAAAAGCCCGACACTTTTCTTTGAATACAGCGTATAATAAATGTTAAGAGATTCTAAATTAACACAACAATTAAGAAACCATTTTAAGTCTGCAGTCTAAGATACTTTTGAAAGTTTTCCGTAGTTTTTTGGTTAAGAGGAGGCAAGAAATAGACATTCTATCAGATCCCTCCCGTGGATCCACCGATCCGGTCCTGGTCTGAGCCCGCGACATGCATACCTCAGCTCAGGGATGAAATATCGCGTGCTGTGCGAGTGGACCTGGCGAGTTTCGCAGTACGACTAAGAGTCGCGACGACGGCACAGCGTCGATTATTATGATTCGAAATTGATAAGCGAAATATTTTTATCATTTCTTAAATTAACATAAACCATAAGCGATTATCACACAATAAGCGTTTCGTTTCGTTTCGCTTCGGCTCTTCCCATGTTCTTGTTGTTCGCTTTTTATAAGCTTTTATGGCCCGCCTCTGACCGCGTTCGAGTATAAGTTATGGCGTGGTCAGGCCAGGATTTGGACGCAGTAAAGTGTCAATGCAGTACTGCAAATTTATGAGGATCTACCTAAGGTCGAGTCAGCTGATTTTTTCAACTCTCTTTTGGGATAACATAAGGAAGTTTTATTTTAATCTCTTACAGCTAAAATGGTTTAAAGCGACGCGATTGCTTGAGCAGCTCGATTTTCCGCTTGTCCTCCTCGAACTTCTTGCGCATCTCGACGATGTTTTGCATCTTGCTCTCCCGTATTTGGAAGGTGTAAAAGTTGGTCAGTTCCTTGGTCTTTTTGTCTCTGGCCATCTTATTTTCCAGACGTCCGACCACCGATTCCTTTTGCTCGAAGCCGGCATTGCGGCCGTCTTTGCCCACTGTGACCCAGCCGTCGGCATCGGCCTCGCTCGTCTTGGCCGCCTCTGCAGCAGCTCGCTCTCTTTTATCGTAGCCGGCCATGTACTTGCGGATTAGCGCCTTCGTCTTCTGCGCATCCAGGAGGTAATTGTTCTCGTACTGATCGTGCCACAGTTCCATGCCAGTCTTGATGATGCACTCGCCGCTGCTGTTGAACAGGTCGATGCTCTTCAAGGCCAGCGCCTTGGCAATGCTGCTGCTCTTCTGGAAGACCACGTAGGCCACCTTGAAACGGAAGGGCGGACGCGTAGTCGAGAAGGGTTCAGTGGTCCCTTCATACCACTTGAGGGTCTCATCTTTTCCCGGCTTGGCGGCGAACTCTACGACCTCAATGGTTCCCATCTGGCTGAAGACCGTCCTCAAGCTCTCCTCTGTGACGTAGGGCGGTACGTTGAGCAGGAATAGCGTGCGGCCTTTGGGTTTGTTGGGGTCCATCAGCCGAATGAAGTGCTCCCGCATGTAGACGCTGTGGCAGTGTTTCGCATCGGGCGACGTGCGTAGGGGGACCACTGAAAGAGACTCCTGGTTAGTTAACATTACGGGAAAAGTCTTTAAATGACAATTTACCTGTATAGCCCTCGAGTTCCACCATTATTCGTTTTGTTTACAAACGGCACGTGTTGCAGTAGTGATGGGAAAAATGATCAACATATCGATAAATTTATAATACAAAAATAATTGTTATAAAAAGGTTGAAAACTCTGATAACAACTGTAATACTTAAGGCATGGTAAATAACTTTGATGTGTAGAACAGATGTCAAAATGTTTTATTAGCGTAAAATTGTTTATTTTAAATATCTAAATAAAATAAAAATAAAAATACAATAAAAAAGGAATTTTCTAACAAGAGTTTCATTTCTGAGTTTATTGATTAATGATAACATTGAATGATTCAAAAATATTTTATTATTGAGGCTTATTATAAAATATTAAATATATTTATTAAAATATTAAATATGTATATTTATAAAATAATAATAATAACAATATATTTCCAAGTATTATTATTTAAATGCAAACGACTGTTTAAAAAAAGCGAAAAAATAATTAAGCATCAGCTGGGAAGGAGAAAAGGACCAGAATGCTGCATCACCCGGGAAAAACCAAATGTTTTTTGTAAACTCTGCACGTATTTTAGTTTTCGTCCGATTTTGTCTTGCTCTATGTGTCCTACACACAGTCCCTGTCCCTGCTCGTATGTGAGTGCTTGTACCCATGCCCCGTGCCCGTCAAATGGTCCGAAAACAAAAACTGCACACCACAACTACATCCTGACCCGCCTCGTCCACGTGCTCCTCCATGCCCTCCAGCGACCACAGCCGGCGTTTATTTAACGGCCGCATGATGAAAGGCGGAAGTTTGTCCAGGCACGTTGGCCCCTGTCCACGGTCCACGGTCCGCGGTCCTGTTCCATGCGAATAGATGCTAATTAATTGAAGGCAAAACTTCAATTGTTTTAAGTTTATTTATTTGTTGGAATATGGCTTGAATTCATATTTAAAAAAAAGGAAAATTAAAATGTATTTCCGCTTATTTAATATAAATAATAATAATATAAATACTTAATCAATAAATTGCTCCTTTTTACCTTTCATCAAAAATCAATATGTTTAAAATCCTTTTAATTATTCTTAAAATTAGTCAGCATTAATCCAAATTCAACAACACAGTGGCAATGACAATTGACATTAATTTTTGCGATTCGGACGCTCAGGCACACCGGCATCATCCCATTTCACCCATCGGGGGAGCAAGGAGCCGGCTGATTGAATAATGCAATTTGAATGCGGTTTGATTTTGTAAAGCCAGTCTCAAGTGTAATTAAATTTGAAGCTAAAATACATGACCTGCTAATTCGATAAACGATTTTACAGCTGAAGCCTAAGTAGCTGCGAACAAGGACCTCTGGACCTATTGAGCTGCAATTCAAGTTGGTTAATTTTCTTGCACTTAAACCAAATTAATTAATACATATATTTAATATAAGGGTTTTTATTTATTTTCGAAAAGCTTAAAAATGCTTTCTTGTAGATTTATTTAAATTATTTTCCTCAAAAGCTTACCATCTTAGCGAAAATGATATTTTAAATAGTTGGAGTTGCTTTATAGAAAATGCAACATAAATACTTTTTTAATTTCATATTTACAGGGATATTTAATATGTAAAATAATTAAATTACATTTAGTTTAGATTTTACAATATACTTGTAAAACACTTCCGACTTAACAATAAGTTTTTCAAAAATTAGTATTATTAAAAGCCTACGAAGGATATCTGTAAATAGAAGAAGAAAAATAATTTAGTTCAGAATCTTGGCAAAGTAAAAACTAAAACTAAAATATTTTCAACCATAAAGTAAGATACAAAATGTATTTTGAACTTTGTAAATAATTTTTTAGTTGCTCGGAACTTCATTAAAAAATGTTAGCCAAACACATTTACATAAAAAAAGGACTCGTTTTTCAAACCGAGCATTTGCATTAATCAAAGCTTTATAAAAACGAGAGTTTTTTTAACTTTTTGTACGTGCACATAATTTTAAAATGCATTACGCACTTTTTAAGTATGTATAAAAATGTATAGGCCATTTTAAATTTAAAAGCGTGGCACGTGCTCCGCCACAATCATCCATCGAGGGTCGAGAATTTGTTTCCCTAATGCGAAATCCTTGACTAATTAGTAAATGTTGCGGCAGCTGTGGGGCATGACCCCACAACACCTAAGCCGCAACATGAGTGGGTTTCTGATGCTCCAAAAAGGGAAAAAGGATACGGATTTCTTTTCATGCCTATGTCTATGCTTAAATGAAAATGCTACAAGTTGCGACTTCATTAAAATTATTCGCTTAGCTTAGCAAATTACGAAACATATTTATTTCTAAAGAAATTTATACTTAAAGACATTACTTTGCTTATTTTAATATTTATCTTGCCTTACCTACAGACAATTGGCTAAAATTCTAGCTTATAATTATATCCACACTGATAGATTTTCCAAATCGCTTTTTCTGAGAGATTTAGCGGCATCACCTGCCACAGGTTGAGCTCTCGAATTTCGTCCAATTGTGTGTGAAAACATTTCAAGCAATTTTCGTCACACGCATGATTTATGGTCGTCCATTTTGGGAACCCCCTACAATTTGTGCCAATCAATATATATTGGCCAATTTCATTGGGGTTATTTCTTCGGTGAAAATCGGAAAACACTCTAATTGCGCGGTGACCATGAAAAGGCATCACGTGCAAGCAATTTATAAAGCCAAATCTTTGGGTGCAAGATGCCTGGTTAGATTCTAAAAGGGGAAAATAAAAAGAAACTAAGCAGTCCACCACAGGATGCACATGTCCCCTGGTTCGATATCTGTATAATTCCTTGCTGACAATGATTTGCAACGTATAACCACAATACCCACTGCAAAATGCATGTTAGACCCATCAAAACCGACAGATTGTTGTTCATTAGTTTGAATTTTGACCAAAAATGTGTGCAAACGTGACACATAAGCTGACCTCGAGAATAACTCTTGTGCTCAACGATGTATTGTTGTATGGTAATCTATGATTAATTAGGAAAATACCCCTTTTTCTAACACGATTTCCAATCATTATGTCTTTATGGAAGTAAAATATACAAGCTCAATTATAACAAGAGGCTAAAATCAAAAAGTCGAACCTAAAATACCCTTGTTTAATTTATATCAATATAAATTAAACAAAAGTCCGAGAAGAGTTATATAATTTGTACCTTTTTTCAATTATACTGATAAAATATATTAAACAGAATTATAGATAATAAGATCTGAAGATACTCAAGATCCTGCAAACTCGTTCCTATATGCCAGAAGGTGTGGATATCTAATAATTAACGATGCCAAACTTGATTTTCCAGTAAACTTAAAAGCTTAATTATGCAATGTTTATAAATTCAGAACTGTCTCCTTCTCTTAATTCAAAATTATAATACCCAGTAATAGGGTATAAAGGAAAACTTTTGGCCTGGTCATTAGTATACCGTTGACATGCCACGCCCACTCCGATGCGTTGCGTCGATAAGCAATCTTGTCGACAATTGACCCTGCTGGACTTACAGTCGGACTCTTGAGAAAGTTGCCCACAAAAGGTTCTTAAACTTTGCTCATTAATTATGAAAGGAAAAAAGAAAATAAATTGCGCTCAAAGAAAATTCGTCATGGAGCTGAGTTGAGTTAAATTGGTTAATTCTTATTTACCAATTTATTAAGCCCGGTCTTCGATAGTCAGATGCCATTAGCGATAAACAGGGTCATTTTTTGGGGGCGGGAATGGAGTCGATGGAGCAATAAAGCATAATATTTATATTTCGGAATACAGACCCAGTGGGACAAATTTTAAATTTATAGAGCAAATCTTATACTTATCTTGGCGACGCATTTAGCGGAAGGTGTCCCAGTCATTTATCACTGATAACTCGCAGGAGAAAGCGGAAGCTCCAATGTCAAAAAAACCAATTTAAAGTAAATTAGCAGAACGCCAACTGCTCGTGATTCGTTTGGGTAAGCCACCACACAATACTGTGGGAATATGGAGGGTTCTTGGAGTGGTTAGCAGGGCAGAGCAGGTGCGTGTCCTTTAGGCCGAGCTAATGTGGGAACGGCTCGACTTGGCCGAAACTTTGCACACACACACACACACACATGTCGGCGTCTCTGGGGCTGCGGTCGCATTCATTCCCTATCAGATCACGTACGATGTACGTCTTAACAGGGGAAAGGGAGTCGCAGTTGGAGTCGGAGTCCATGCCCAGAAAAAAACAAAAGTCCTGAGGCTGGGCGAAAATAGTGCAGACGGTGCGGTGCGCCTTGGAATTTATTGCACGTTGTAAGTTGCTCGGATGGGTTCAACTGCAGATTAGACGCCCTGATAGACACAAAATGCTTTTGCCTCCAAACTCAGCTTAAGTTTAGACGTGGCTAAAAATTTATTACACGTTAACCGAAGGACGAAAGGCTTGCGAGGGCCGAGTTTTATTTGACTGAAATCGCTTACTTTGAGACAATAAAGCTTGGTCCTTTGGCTGACAAACGTCTGGCGGCGGTTTGGTAAAGTTAGCAAGTTTTGAATGATGGAAGAAAGAATGGAATTTAATTCTTGACCATACATATATTTAATTTCATTTGCTGCTCATTAAATCGTTATAATTTAATTACCAGAAAAGATATTAAAAAATAAATATGCAACGGATTAAATCAATATTTTGTAATTTAAAGCTTTACTGCTTCACTGACATCATCATGCACAACATTTGAAAGGTTTCCCCTGAGCCATCCTTTGCCAAGTGAGTGCAGAAATGCAGAATTCAAACACCAAACTAAAACAATTCTCTAAACTCAACTGGGAACTGGCCCGACCCCCAAAATGAAACAAACACGAAGGTCCAACAAGCAGTGCCAGCGCCTGAAAAGCCCCAAGGATTTGGAAGCACAATGTGTAAAGAAATCTTTTAAACAATTTCGTCTCATGCCTGATTTCTTTCTAAGCTCGAGGGCGAGGGCGGTTACTTAAATTTTCTTATGGTTTAACTTTTGTGATGTTTCAAGCCAGATTAACCGTGCTTACTGCCGGACGCCACGCTCAGTGATGTGACATTGTTCAGCCATAATCTACTTTCAAGTAGCCACAAGCAACACCCATGTCCATGTAATCTGTGCTGGTGCGTCCTCCTCGAGGATAAACTGTAATTTTATGCAAAAGAAAATTCAGCATAGTAGCTTCTATCTAGATTATTTAGACGCCACTCTTGGTCACATTTGTATACCCTACAGAAGAGTACATTTATTAAAAGATTTTTCAAACTGAAGGAGGGGACAGGCTCATATTGAAGCTTATTTTATATATATGTGTTTTTTTTTATAAAAAACTATAACTATTTTCAAATTGAACGAATAATAACACTGCAAACTGGTGTCTCTATGCTTAGATTCCGAGGCCATCTCAGTTTGATCGCTTCAGGGAGAACCACAAGTGAGGAAGCCTAGCCAAGATGCCACAGAAGATAGGGTACTGGGTGGTCTCGTTAACTCGGAACAGACATGGAATGCACATGCGGCATTTATTCAACTGCAAGGTGTTAATTAAATTTGGTTTTAAATGCAACTTGTCGCAGCGTCGCCATGCTGTTGGCTGCTGCGGATTCCGGCTTGAGTTTGAGGTTTTCGCTTCGCATTTACTGAAAAATCCGCAACTAATTCGGACGTACGGTTAAAAAGGCAACTGGGAGGCCAAACGTGGATGTCGCTGCCCTGCCAAAGGACGTGAGCCCCGGGCAGGATGAGCAACTTTAAAGGATGGCAGGCATTAAGAGGGGTTTGGTTAGAGCTTAAAAATTTCGCAACAGTAAGATTTTCTTTTAAATAAAAGTATAATCTTCTTCACTTTTACATTTGATCCTTTAAAGAAGAAAATAAAAACATATATATTTTTATTTTCCAATTTGTCGGTTAATCTGCAACTGACAATTACTTTCACCCAGTCGCTTAATAATTCAGTGACCACTGGCCGCATTTTAGAGACTTGACAAACAAACTGACAAATTGTTTTCACCTATTTTGTGTGGGAGACTGTACGAGAGTGTCAGTTTGTCACCCACATACACAGATACGAAACCTGCGAAAACTATTGATTGGCATTTGAATAATAGATGCAGATTGTGCATTACTGAGCAGACACGAGGCGACGGGGCCCAAGATACTTATAAATGTTGCATGGACATAGGAGGGTGCTATGTGTTCGCCTTAGTTAGCTTTCTCGGCGTTGCCATTGGCTGATGGAGCTCTTTGTTTGTTTATCTTAAAGATACTCGAGACCGCACCGGAGGTGGGAGTGGGCGCAGGCCAGACAACGTGGAATGCCCGCCCGCCCCAAGGACTAAGCTAACCATTCGAAAAATTCACTCAAGCGCAAACTTTCGATGCCCCCGAATGCGGAGAATTTTCGTTCCCCTGACTCGCTTAAAATTTACATTTAATGAGGTTTAAGTTCGACCAAGGTGCGAACACAATCTGCAGTTGAGGAGGCACTTCAGATGGCGGATAGGGCGTTTAATGGTCGCAAATTGAAACCAAATGCAAATGGTATGCAAAATCATGACTTTTAAAGCCACCTCAAGCTGCTCAATTTAAACAAATTATCCTTAAAACCTGACCCTTAAATCATTTTAAAATGCAAGCTACCTTTTCTGACATAAATGTCACTGACTAAGCCGGCTTCAAAGTGCAAGCTTAGACTCTGTAATCAGGACAAGCCAGGGCAACTGACGGTGGGAACTCGAAGCTAACCAAAAACCCATCAAGGAAAATCTCGACCGCATTTGAGCATTTTCTCTAATTAAACTGGCACGAAAGCCGCAACAGAACAGACAGAACTGCGCTCTCCTAACGCGACACCTGTCAAAGTTTTTCTTTTATATTTTTTGGTCTAAAGAATAAATGAAAATTCGTGTGCTTGACATTCTGCCTGTTGATGGGTTTTTGGGGTTCCCCGCCAACTTTTTTGTCCAACTGCCACCGGCAGGGTCATTTACTTAAAGAGTCTTTCTAGTTTTTAATTAGCACTTACTGGAAACTAAAGATCCAAATGCTTTCCCGAAGATTCCAGCACCGCCTCGAGGGGAAGTACTCCTCCGCCAGGTACAGGTAGCCTACCGAGCAGGTGCACTGAAGCAGCAGGAGCAGCAGCACTCCGTTCCCTGTCAGCCGTAAGCGGAGCACTCCGGTTACCCAATTTGCCACCCAGCCAGCGGCTATAGGTGTAATCCGGTTCCGTGCCCCAGAACTTGTGAAACGAGACGGGCGGCTCCAGCTGCAACAACTCCATGGCATAGTCCTGCGACCGCGCCTGATGCATCCCCGCCGCTGGCACTGCCGGAACCCCGAGCACCTGCAGGCAGTAGCCCAAGATCATGTCGTCGGGAGCACTGGCGCTGGGACAACTGCATCGGTCCACAATGAGCCGCACCAACGGCAGGCTGAGCAGGATGCCGGCTCCTCCTGTGTGATAGTTGAAGCCATCTGGGGCATGCAGGCGATAGCCATAGCGCTGGCCCACATACACGAGCTCCGAATGATTGTGGCAGCTCAGTAGGGCGCTGACACGGGGCACACTGGTAATTGGATTGGAAACGGAAATGGTCAGTGAGTGCAACTTACCAATATAACATTTTTTAATTGAATGTGCTTTCAACCGATTAAGCCGCAAAATAAAATGAATTAAACGATGGGATTGTGCTCAAGAAAGAGCCAGTTGGAGTTAAAAAAAACAGCATTGCCACATTTCAAATTTTAGAACGGAAAAAATAATCTTATAGAAGAAGAACATAGGAATTGAGTCTTAAATTAAGCCTGATCAAATGCAGTACCTGCCTTGTAACCTCTTTGTCAACATTGCTTTTGAATCAGCAGTCAAACAAATCTAGACATCTTAATGTCATTTACTATAAGTAAGCTTCTCTTTAGCTACTTGGTGGGATATCTCATTCAAAATGTGCACTGTAAGTACCAAAATTCCTTAGACCATTACTCACCTTAGCAAGGTATCATCATCGACCAGCATCAGCCAGCGTATGTCCGATTGCAGGCCAATATCCTTGAGGGATAATTGTAAAATAGCCATTGTTTTGGCACAATGTCCAGTCTGAACGTTCGGTATCCCCGTGCTGATTGTCGGTATGCCGTCGTCTTGTGTGGTTTTCGGAGAGCAGAGAACGGGGGAAATCGCAGAGTCAAATCAATGAATATTCAACTACTCGTCGAAGGGCAGAGCTTGGAGGCTCGGGAGTAATTATGAGGAGGAGGACCACACACAGGCAGAATTTCTTGGGTGTGAGTTTTGCTTGACTATCACTCAGTCTCAGCCTCGTCCTCATCGTGTTTTTGTTAATTCGCTGGGCACACACTGGCATGTGTACATACATATATAACGGTTTATTTTATCCCCCAGTTCACAGGCACCCCCTGAACCTGCTCCTGAACCCCCTCTATTCGGTTTAATTGCTCGCTCATTGTCGTCGAGGTGCTCACCTGCCACATCGCTGTAGTATCTCCGGTAGTGGGTGTCGGTTGCCCAAGTGCGCTCAATGATTGGAATGCGTTCCTTATGGAATTTTGCACAGGTTTTGATTGCGAAATAGATGTGAGATCCCGTTGTGTGCACCTGTGTGGGGCAGGAAATACATGGAGAAAGAGGAACAGATATGGAGACGGAGAGAGATATCAAGTCAGAGTCGTTTGGGGAATTTATTGCTATTGAGGTTTCGTATACTAATTGCCCGGGGTGCTCTCCATTGGTTTTGATATCCAAAATGTTTATGGAGTTCGTTAGCATGGACTGCGTTTAAAGTTTAAACTAAAGGACTTTGGAAGCTGTGCCCGACAAGAATAGCTGTGAGTTGTGGAAAAAACTTTTGATATATTAAAAAAGAATACATGTGTAAAACAGAAAATATTTCAGGCATTTTTTCTGGCATTTCTAACAGAAACCTTATGGAGATTTTTGTCTTAATCAATAACCCGTTAAGGTTGATATATGGGTTGCAAAATGATTCCACTACAACGGAGGCGAAAATAAACTTACACAGTGCTTCTTCCGGTCCCCTAAAGTCGTCGATGTCAGCCCCGGAACATATGGCTCCTTTGGCTTTGCATATAGAGCACAAGAAGGTGCTCCTCTTGTCGGACTCTTTGGGGATTGTGTAGTTATGGCCATGGGGCAAATGTAGGGGACATTTTTCAGAATGATTTTCCTCGACAACGCTGCTACGCGATGCTCCGGGTGGTCGCCGTCGTCGTCGGGCCGTATGTTGTCGAATATAAAGCGCGCCAGCTCATGAGAGGCGTCGATGGAGAACTCACTGGGACGGCTGTTGTTTTGGGCATTAAGAGCAACAAGTTTTGTTAGCCTGGAAAGGAACGATTCACTACCACTTATGAAAGCTTCACTTGGAACTATATGAGTTTTTGCAGGTAAAGGAAAATACCTATTTTGGAATGGAGAGAAAGGAAATTTGAATATACTGTTCTCCCAAAAACGTTTTGAAAAAACCAAGATAATTTTATTTGTAAATTAAAATAAGAGACAAAGAAGTAGATTCTGTTTACAATATTTATCATATTCATATTCAACATTACCTTCTAAATAAAGAGCCAGTGAAAACCAGTCCGGCGCTAAGCATGGGATACGGGAACCATCGCGGATCCTTGTAGTGCCAGAAGTGATGTATAATGGTGGCCTCCGAATCATACAGGGCGTGGCCATAAAAGGCGAGCTGAAGAAACTCGTTGGTTCAGAACACAGGTCTCCTTCACTCCATGTGATGAGTTCAACTCACCTCATCATGGTCCTGGTAACGCAGGTGCTTAAGCAGATCGCGCAAGGAGGCAACCTGCGTGTTGTGCTGGCACCAGATAATCCATTCAGTGCGTTTACTCACTAAGCTGGTTTGGCTTTGCAAATGAGGCAGTGCATCCAGTAGGGTCCAGTAATTGAAAAGCTCATGCATTACGTGAACCTTGACCACATAGTTGCCGAGGGCGATGTCTCTTGTCAGATTCAGTTGTCGATGCTGCTCTCTTACGCTGCCGGCCAAGGCGAAGCACTCGTCCTGGGCCTGGCGTGGATATGGCGGGCATGCGATGACCAGGAGCACCTCCGGTTCCGTTTTGGCGCGGCATAAGGTGAAGCAACAAAAGAGCCAAATCGTGGTACGATATAGACTAATATGCATTTTGAAATTATAGATTTAAGGAGATTAAAGATCCTTCTCAGATTCCTTTGATGTATTTCGAATTCCCGAATAAATTTAAAAATATAATAAAATTCACATCGGCAATCCGAACACGACCGCTCTAATGAGCGTGCGAAAACGTACTGATGCAGCAGTGATTTAATTTTTGGCGCAAACCCGAAATGGGGGCCTAAGTGGGTGAGAATGTGAGGCGCCACGTTGGTAGACCAAGGCGCAGGCGCCTGTTTTGGAACAGAAGTTATGAATGAACCTGCGCTAGGCGCATGCAACAGATGTCAACCTGTAGAAATAGCAGCCTACGGCATTGGTGGAAACTCATAGGTTTTCAGTTTGATGTCAAATTTGAATTTGCCGCGAAATAGTGTTGCAAAGTCATAAATGAACTGTCAGACCAGCTATGACTTCAGTGTTCTCAGATCAGGATTTGTCTTCCTAGTTTTTTTTCCTAAGGTTTTTTTTAAGGTTTATTAAAGACGATCACCTTAAAGAGTCATATTTTCGTAACTGCAATAAAAAAGATACTTCCTGAAGCCAAATTGAAACGTCTATAGAATTTAAAGAGGTTATCATAAATAGATATATTTGGGATTAAAAATATAACCCATAGATGGGACTAAAAAAATTCCCCAACTTTATATTTTTATAAGATAAACATAAAGAAGAATCTCTAGTAGCCGAGAGTCATGCTTAGAAAACATACAAGTTTAGTTTATTGCAGAAACAAACCTAGATATATAGATATATAACTTAGTTTAAATAATAGCGTTAACTGAAATATAAATGTTAATTTCATATATATTTTGTGTATACATAAGGGAAAGTAGAAGGAATACTATTAGTGCATTGGCGATGCCAATCTTGTTGTCGTCTGCATGCTGTTGCTCCGGTTATTTGATTTCAGCCTCAGCTCGTTGACATGCTTGAAGAGCTGGTCCTGCTTGGAAAGCAGCTCCCGGGTGCGTTGGCAGCCATGCTGGGGGACGCACAGACCCGGATTCCAGCGACAGTAGAGGCCCTTCCACAGCCGCAGGGCTCGCACACTGGCGATGGGGCGCAGCACTAGCTCCGCCCCCTGCGTGAACGAGGGAAATAGGGGATTCAAATACTGATCCAGCGAAGAGTTGATGTGTGTCCACAATGAGGTGGTCTTGTGCTTCAAATCTGCAAGGACAACATCAGCAAGGCATTGTAATACAGCTTGGAAAACGTACCTTCGGTGACCCGTTCGGCCTCCGTGTTGCAGAGGAATGTGCCAAACCGGCAGGAGTAGAGGTGATCCACTATGGTAATGAGGAAGTGCTCGTTGAACTCAAATGCGTTGTTGAACTGCTGACTGACCTGCCAGACGCTGTCGATGAATTGCAGGAACACCGGCGATCGATCAGCATCCGAGTGCTTATTGTCGCCGTGACCGATGCGTTGCTGGAACTTGTGGCCGAAGGAGAGCCACTCCTTCTCAATGAGCACCTCAAAGCCACGGACTGTGCGATAGTGGGGATCCAGCAGCAGCATGGACAGGGCCGTGAGTTGGGCAGTGCGATCCCACCCATCCGAGCAGTGGACAACAACTGATGTGCTCATAGTCTCCACCTTGTCCACAATCCTAACGGCGCCAGCCAAGATGCACCTGATGTGCTTTAGCCACAGTGTGTTATCGATGGCCGTCTGCCACTTGGAGTCGTCGGTCGTCGGAAAGCAGGCTTCCTTAACCTTGCGCAGGCTCTCTCGCATCACGTGAATGTTGTGTATGTCCAGGAAATTGATTTCCACGTTCTTGTACGCGTCCTCCGACTCGTAGCCGCCGCCCTTCGCCTTGTTGGCAATGGCATTGGCGCTGGGCCGCGCATCCATAATCGTCAGTTTATCCGACTGAGCGTTGGCCTCCATGATGTAGCTAAGATAGGTCTCATCATCGGCGTTGCGCTTGCCGCTCACTCCCACCAAGGGCTGGGAGCAACGCGTTATAGTAGCTTGCGTCCGGGGATTCATCCAGGACAGGACCGGGAGACGACAACGGGACCGAAACTGCGCCACGCGACGCAGAAAATCATCAGAGGCTGCCTTGGGCACAGCCCAAACGGCCGGATAACTGTCGCAAATGGTGTAGGACTCGTTCAACTTGGTGGCCCGCCACATATCGTTCGGAACGCCAAGGCGTCGTAGTTCTGCCAGCGGCTCGTAGACGGCCCATCCGTCCCAGCCACTGCTGCCGCCATTCACGGCACTGGCCGCCGCCGCATGGGCGAAGGCAAAGAGCCGCCCGCTGTAGGACAGAGGAAACGCGTTTGTCTGCAACTTCTCAAACACCGTCCGGCGAGAGTGATTCTGCTGTTTGTGGGCAAACCGCAGGTTGCGCATGTCCTTGCAGAAGATCTCGATGCCGTACGAATTCTCTCCTCGCGACGTGGCACCACCGATCTTCTCGACTCGGGCTATTACGCCCAGCGGCACGTCTACCACTACGGGCGGCTCCTGGTCCCGCAGCGGCAGCGAACGGAAGTACAGGCGGTAGTTGGTGATGGTTAAGGCACCGAAGACAGGCCCGCGATATGGACACACATAGGTGACGTCGTTCTTCTGGTCCTGGTCCTCCTCGCCGTCCAGATAGGCGAAGGGCGTGTCCCGCAGAACCCCATTCTGTCCGTGCTTCGAGCCCAGCGAACTGGACTTGGAGCTGCTGTCCAGTGAGTTGTTGCTGGCCGTTTTCGAGGCCAGCTTGTCGGCCAGGCTCGCGGAGGACTCCATTGTTTGATTTGGAACAGGTGTTTTGTGTGGGTAGAGTTTTGCTTGTGTCTTTCGTACAAAGTATAAATGCAATTCACCAAATTATGTGCAACGGCGCTGCCAACTCGCGTGCGTAAAATGTACCTCCACTGATAGGCTAACAAATTTAGGTACCCTTTGTCTGATTTTACTCAATAGGCCAATTTGTTTAATGAAATAAGTCGAACTTTATTATCGGTTTATTTTTTCTATAGCTTACTAAACTTAGTCTTTGATCAATAAAGCTAATGCCGTTATCATTTAAACTCACACAAAACGTTTTATTTTTGTTTATATGCATGTATTTGTACATTCTAACTTTTACACGAGTTGGCAGCTCTAAACATACGTAGTCAAACAGCTGATCGCGCAATCCGTCACATGTTTACACGGCGCCGCTATTGTTATTATTTAACACTTTTGTAAATAAATTATAATTATTCTAATAACTATAAATTATAAATGAATTACGCGCCCCGAGCACAATGGAAGTTCCTGCAGTACCTCATGCAAATACGTCAGCTGCAGTTACTGAGGAGGCCGCCTTTCCTGGCGGTACCATCGTTGCTGCCGGCAAATGGACTTAACCTGGCTCTGGCGAATGGGCGGCAACACAAAAGCTTTAGCGGAACATCAACCATTGGCAAGGATGATCTACTCTTGAGTCTGCAGAGGACAAAAACCGGAGACGAACTTCTGGAATTGCTGATGGCAAACAGTGGAAAAGAAGTAATGGAAGGTTCTCATTTGGTAGAGGGCATCTCACTGCTCTGGCCGCACTACCAAGGCCTGGATCAGCCAGGAAGGGATGCACTCACGAAGCGCGTGCTAAAGGAAGTCCTACCCTACCTCAGTCCCCACCATATAGACCAGCTGGACAGTAACGACCTGAGCCGCTGCTACCTCTACCTCCGTAAAATGCGCATAGCAAACAGCGAGCCAGCCGTCGAGGCGGTTTTAGTACGAGCCCTTGGCCTAATAGACGGCACAGTGGATGGAAAAGAACTGATTCCCCTGACCGCCCTTTCCCGCCTGTCGGTGGGCATCAACTTGGAACGCGACTTCTTTACGCCCCTTGTGTGCCGGAACTTTGTGCCGCAGTTGGAGGAGCACATCAACCAGTGCCGCAGTGAAGAAGAGGTGCGCCTCTTGTCCACCTGCCTATTCCAACTGCACATGCTCATCGACGAGCAGCTTCTTCAAGACTTTAAGCATCGAGTAACAAAGCTGCTGCACAGCGGGGTGCTCAGCAGTGAGACCCCGAGGGCGTTGCTCAAAGTGCTCCACATGCTGAATATTCCGGTATGGTCTCAGGATCACACCCCTTTGATAAGAGAGATCATGCTGGCCCTGAGGCCCTGCATCCCCGATTTGGAGTCTGGGGATTTGAAGAGTTTGTGCCGAGCATTTCTGCACCACCAAGAGCCTGCAAATTTGACGCAGTCGCTCAAGGAGGCCATAGAAAAGTTACTGCAGGAGGAAAGATCGGCGGACGCTTTGTCTTGTGCCGTCCATTTCGCTACTCCCCTTCAAAAGGACGAGTACTTGGACATTTTTCGCGAGCTCATCAACTGCGAAGAGTCCTGGCTCCTACCAAGTGCCAGCGGGCACTTTTTCAGAGTGTTGCGCGCCTTGAAGATCTCCGACCTAAGATTGTGCAACACCTACTGGTCGGGTGTCGTGCGAGAGCTTGACTCCTCCCCGGAAGAGCAAACCCACCTGCGCTTCTTGAGGCACTGTCAGCGCTACATGAACTTCAACAACAATCTGGGAGGAACCTACCGACACTTTACCGTCGAGCGCAAGCTGAGTCGCATGTGCATGAGCGCCATCGAGGGGGACATTGCGGGCAGGCTGCCAACAAAATTTGCGCGCATGGCGGCGTTTGTGCTGGCCTACGGACAGACACCTTTTGCGTGGAAGAAATTCCCCAACGTCATCCTAAGCAAGATGCTATCGATGGCTCCGCAGCTGGACATTCAGGATTGTTTTCTTCTCAGCCGTGGAATGCAAATCGCCAGCGAACTAAGGTTTCGCCAGCATCTTCCTCCACTGGCTGGCATGCAGTTGTCCACCATGGATAGCATCCTCATTGGCTGTGCAGAGAGACACTTGGCTGGCACCGATGACAATCCGTTGAGTCCCAGTGATCTCAGCATGATTGTGCGAACCCTGAGCCATCGCAAAAGTAAGTTAAAAATAATTTGAACTAAATAAACCAAAAAACCCCGTTACTCCCTGTTTTACAGCTCTCAAGAACACTTTGGTATACAACCAAGCTTTGGTGCTCTATAAATCTCTTCATTGCAAGGACCTTAATTCGCGAGTGGTTCGGGACATGGCGTACAATTTCAATGCATCGAACTTCTTTGTGCCCGAGCTGTTGGAGTCAATGTTTGATTACATTTCCGAACAGCACGACCACGTCACCGGAGACACCGTTGAGAAGGTCTTAACTTGTTCATATAACCTGGGCTATACGCCTGCCTCTCCCCAAGTCTTGCATCGTGTGGCTGAAGTATTACTTAGGTGAGTAATATTTGCTTGAAATTAATTGAAAAACATATGTATAAATAATATTTTACCTATTTCTAGAGACTTTGACCAAATGAGCGGACTATCACTCGTCCAAGCCTGTCTGGCGTTGTGCTTTTATAAATCCATACCGGAGAAGCTTATCAATAAAGTATTCTGCGTGAAGTTTATTCAGCGAATTGAAGATGAAATTCAGGTCTGCTACTCCAAGGCCACCTATCCGGAAAGGGTGCTGAACCTAGTCATGCAGCTGAATCGCACAGTCTGTCTGGATCTGCCCGAGGCCAATGTGCCGTGGTTTCAACAGAACTATATCGAAGCTCAGATGAGCAAGAGTAAGTATCACCACTAGGGAAGACACAGAATATTCATACTCTGTTCATATATACTTAATATGCAAACTTCTGACAAAAATTAAAATATTACAAGAGTATAAAAATGACTTTTGCGACTAATATTTTAAATATTTCAGGGTCTTTCCGGTCCAGTACCTTCACTACCGATGTCAAACAACTACTGCAAAACCTGCTTAAGAATGATAATCACTTTCGCTGCAATCACACAACGCCGTACGGCTACCACATAGATTTTGTAATTCATTTCGATCGGGATAGGAAGCCAATTCCTGCGCCTCCTGCGGAGGTCACCATGCTAGATCGCATAACGAAGTAAGCACATAGATTATTTACATTACTTTTAATACTTTTAATATGTTCTTTAGGGTGGCCATTCTTCTGCTAAAGTTGGATTCGTTCTGTGAGAACGATTTGACTGCGTTGAGAGGGCCAGAGTCTATGAAAATGAAGCACTTGGAAATGATGGGCTACAAAGTGCTACAGATAAACGAACATGACTGGAACTCCAAGTACATGGCGACACAAGGAGCCAAGGAAAAGTTCCTAAAATGCTTGCTACAGATTTCCCAGTAATCGTTGTTGATTAGTTAACCATTTGTTAGGTTTACATGTAGCTGTACAGCGCAGGACTTTGTTTTTATAAGATTTTATGTTATGTTAACAATTAATAGATAAGCAAAATGTGAATACTGAGAGCAACACACCATCATTATTTGATTTTTGGTCTTTAAAGTAAACAAGGTAGGACAGAAAACTTTAAAAACCTTTGAGTTCAATAATAATATTTATAATATTTTGTATCAAAAGTTTATTAACGTTATACATACGTCGTATACAAGTTGTAGAAAAGTTAAAAGTTGTACTTGAATTAATTTAAGTTCTTATTCACTTAGGATTTTATTGACCCAATTGAACACACCAGTTGTAGGCATTGTTAAACATCAGCTGCCATGGACTCTCCGCTCCTGATGCTGGCACTTCAAAGTCATGTGGCACGTAGGGCCATTGGTACATGGAGCTACAGCGTTCCGGATGAGGCATCAAGGCCAAATGACGACCGTCCGGCGAGCAGAGACCTGCAATTCCCAGAGGACTTCCATTGGGATTAAGGGGATAGCGTTCCGTGGGCTCTCCGGCATCATCCACATACTGGAGAGTCACCAGCTCTTCCTTCTGCAGTTGGTTTATGAGCTTATCATCCCTGAAGGCAAATCGACCTTCACCGTGAGCTACCCAGCATCCGAGAATCAGATCCTTCATACTTTGCAGCATGATGGATCGATTTGCTGGTACCTTTACCGTAGACCAGCGGCATTCAAATCGCTGCGAACGGTTGTGGAGTAGGGCCACATCGGGATCGGAGCCCACTGTGCTGCTGGGAGCTCCCACGAAACCAATAAGCGACATTAGTTGGCAGCCATTGCAGATGCCCAGCGAGAAGACATCCTGGCGGTGCTTGAAGGCCTCAAACTGCGGCTTCAGACGGGCACTATGAAGAATGTTGGCTGCCCAGCCCTTGGCGGATCCCAAAGTGTCTGCATAGCTGAATCCGCCCGGAAAGATGACACCTCGGTACTGGCAAAGTGTGGTGGTGCCTGCAAAAGAAAATTTCGTTGATTAGCTAAAACATTCTTATAAAAATTCGCTTTCTAAAGATCGTATAATCCTTTTACAACACTCACCCTGCAGAAGATCCGACATGGTCACATCGTGCACTTCAAAGTTCGCTCGCAGCAGGCAGGACATCATCTCGCGCTCACTATTGACGCCCTCCTCCCGCAGAACGGCCACACGAATCGGAGTGGAAGAGCGCTTGAGAATGAGCTCGGCCTGCAGGTTGGCGGGGCCCTTATACTGGGGAGCCTTGCGGAACTCCAGACTGTGGTACTCCGCCTGGGCGCATTCGGGGTTAGCCTGCAGCTTCTCCAGCTCGTAGCTGGTGCGCTCCCACTGCTGGTAGAGCAAGCGCAGGGGCTGATCCAGCAGCGCAGATGAACCCTTTTTGATAACTACACGGGAGCCATCAAGACCGAATCCTTTTGTCCTGCCCAGATAGTGGTTCGGCACTCCGGCCTCTTTGTAGATGGAGCGAACGCGGTCCAGATCTTTGTGATGCACCTCTACCACCCAGCCACACTCCTCGGCAAAGAGGAGAGCCAGTTCAGGGCGATTGAGTTTAAGGGCAGCTTCATCGAAGTTCTTAAGCTTGGACGACAAGGGCTCCGATAGGTCCACGTCGAGGCCACTCAGTCCACCAATGGCCATCTCTACGAGGCACACGAGCAGTCCTCCATCGCTGATATCGTGTCCGGCCAGCAGAAGGCCCTTTTCCAGCAGCGTTTGTGTAGCGACAAATGCCTTGGCCAGAATGTCGGTCTTAGCCAGACTGGGACACTCATTCCCCTGCTGGGCATAGGCCTGTGCCAGAGCAGAGCCGCCCAGTCTAAATTTCTCCTCCAGACTTATCCAGAGCAGAGCAGTCTCAGAGCCCGAGCTGGGACCCTTAAGATCGGGAGTAACTTTTAGCCTCACATCCGGACAGGGAGCATACGTGGAAATGACCAGGGTGCCCGGCGACTTGATGGTCTCTCCACCCACCTTGGCGGCCATGGAGAGGGAATCCTTGCCGCCGTCTATGGCTATGTGCAACTCCTCCAGGATCTGGCAGAGTTCCTTGCAAGCGTCGTACATCTTGGCTCCTTCACCGGGCAATTTCGCAGCCCACATCCAGTTGCCCGAGCACTTGACATCCGCCAGTTCGCTAATTTTCACAAAAACCAGGTTACTGAGGGCTTCGGCCACACACATCCTGGCCATGGCAGCGGGATCGAGGAGACCCTTCAGCGGCTGGGTGCCAATGGAGGTGGCGATACCGGCGTTGTTGAAGTGCGATACGGTGGTCAGGGCAAAGTCGGCCAGTGGGGCCTGGAGCGGACCCACACATTGCTGCTGAGCGATCAGTCCTCCCACGCAGCGATCCACCTTGTTGGTGAGGAAGCGCTTGCTGCCCACGGCCACCAGACTAAGGACCCTCTTTAGTGCATCATCCAGGCCCAAGTCGCTGGGCAGAACTAAACTCTTCAAGGATGTCGTCTCGCGGCTCAGCTCGTATGTCCGCTTCGGCATATCGCCCAATACGTACTTGAGTTCCAAGTCGAACGGAGCTGGCTTCGTACTGCTCGTAGCGCTGGTTAGAGCCTTCTCCACATCCTTGGGGGCAGCTTGCTCCAACAGCGTAACACGTCCATTACCCGTCACCACGCCCACAAAGCTGATGGGGCATCGTTCCCGCTGGCAGATCTTCTCCAGCAATTCTCGATCTTCGGCCTTGCAGAGAATGGCATTGTTCTCTTGATACTCGGCGCCCCATAGCTCCAGGGCCGTTATGGTGGGATCGCCCAATTGGAACTCCTTGGAGAAGATGACAGCTCCTGCAAAGCCCGGCTCCACTAGTTCCTTGAGCACGTTACCGTTGCCGCCAGCTCCCTGGTCGTGTATAGCCAGAATAGGATTCTGGTCGCCCAGTTCCAGACAGGAGCGAACAACACGATTCACCTTGTTTTCCATCTCAGCATCACCTCGCTGCACGGCATTGAAGTCTAGCTCCGCGTCTCCGGATCCCTGCACCTCCACCGAACTGGCGGCGCCACCTCCCACGCCGATCCTGTAGACGGGTCCGCCGATCTTGGCCAGCAGCTGACCACGAACTGGGTTCAGTTTTTCCCGCATAGCAGCGGGCATAGTGCCAAGTCCGCCGCTGAACATGATCGGCTTTACGTACTCATCCCGCTGACTGGCATCGGCCTGGCTGTTGAGGCCGTAGGATAATGCAAAGCCGCAAATTACAGGTTCTCCGAACTTGTTGCCATAGTCCGAGGCCCCGTTGCTGGCCTCGATAAGTATCTGGAGGGGAGGCGCAAACGTCGTTGGGTACTTGTAGTCCGATGGCTCGTAGGGCTGCTTATAACCTGTGGGGATTAGATAAGGAAAGTGTTATAACTGTCATCAAATGTTTATATCCTTAAGGATTAAATAGATTCTTTTATTTAAAAAAAAATTGTTCTACTTACTACTGTAAAGCCTTACCTAAACCTCAAAAGCTCAGGTTACATTACTCTTCATGGCATAAATATCTCCTCAAATTCAGAGCAAACTCACCTGGAATGTGAATAGCTCCCACACAGTAGCCGGCAGTTCCTGCAATTGGGACTCCTCCTCTGCCCACACCCTGGACATCGCGAAGACGTCCGCCTGTGCCCGTAGTGGCGCCACTAAATGGAGCCACTGCCGTGGGCATATTGTGGGTTTCTGCTGTAAAGATCAGATCAGACTCCACATTTACGCGACGCACTGGCCCCGGAGCCACCACGGAGGACGGTACTACGGTGTCGTGCTTGAATCCTATCATGGCACTGCTGTTGTCACTGAACTTGATGGTATTGTTGGGGTTCGTGTGCGCCTGCGTGTCCATGATCATGCGAATCAGGGACTTGGGCTGCTCCTCACCATCGATGACCATGCGTCCGCGGAAGAACCAGTGGCGAGAGTGCTCGCTGTTGCTCTGAGCGCAATCGAAGAGTTCAACAGTCGTGGGATTGCGACCCAGCTTATGGGCGAACAGATCGTGGTAAAAGTCCAGATCGTAGTCGGTGAAGGCTAGGCCCAACTCCTGGTTAATCCGCACCAGCGCCGGTCGTCCCTCTTCCAAGACGGACACAAAGTGCCAGTCAGTTAGTTGCGCCGGCAGCTGCTCATTAAAGCTTGCCTTGGGCGTGTTCTTCGCCGTGTAAAGGCACTGGGTCATACGATCTCCCAGCAGGGGGACAAACCTGGACGCCTCACGAGCCACTGTCGAATCATCGTTGAAGGTCAGGAGGTAGCGCGTCGACGCCTCCATGCGAAGCACCTCCGTGTACCCGAGATTGTGGAAGATGTTTACACAGTTCGTGGAGAACGGAGTGGAAAAGTTGAAGCGCGGTCCGATCTCTAGAAGCAACTGCCGCTCGCCCTTCGCATGGAGGACGGGCTGCCTAGTCAGGCTTTGGCCACTGTTCATCGGTTGCTTAACCAGCCAGATCAGCAGTTCCTCCAGTGGCAACGAGTGCTCAACCTCGACTCCACTGTGCTCCAAATGAAAGCAGCGCTCCATGCGCACGGAGGCCAGGCCGCCATCCTCTGCCCTGAGGCGACGCCAGACACTCTGTTCCTCGGCCGCGTCAAAGGCCTGCACATCGTAGTAGCGTAGGATGACCATATTGTCGTGGGGCTGCAATAAATTAAGAATAGCTTGAGAATAATCCGTGCGTGCGCCTTGCTTGACGAGCAAAGAATGATCTTGGGCTGTCCAAATACACAGCCGTTGACAACCAGTGGGCCGCAGCCCACGTTGGGGGTTATCAACCACAGCCGCGGTTCAGGTTACAGCCAATCCGATCCAATCGGATGGAAAGAGATGGGATGCAGGCAGTCGTTGCACCGCCGTCACAACTTGTTTTTGTTTTTATTATTGCCAGCCCCTGAATCCGAGTCGCTGATAAGCCGGCGACGTAAACATATTTTCCGTCACAAACACCAGTTCGCGAGAGGTAATGAATGGGAAGCTGAGGGCATAATAGGCTGAAGAAGCCACAATTGGCGTTAACTAACCCGAATTGGAGCACAATAACAAAGAGCACCGCGCACGTGCGTTGGAGCTGAGAAAACGAGCTTTGGATTCGTCTTTGGCGGCTTGTATTGGACTTGACCAGTGCTGGGCAATGATCCAATCGAATCTCTCACATTAACCCCTAGTCCGTCATGGGAGGCCTGAAAAAGGTAGTAAATAAAATGGGTAATAAAAGTATGGAATGGCTTAAAAAATACAAAAATGATTTACCTAAAGGGTAAACCTTCAAAATCTTCAAATAATTTTAATTTTTTTATATACAAAAAAATTAAGAAAGAAAGTTTCAAATTAGATTATTTTCCTCAATTGATTTTAACAATTAAATTCACAACAATTTGTGTAGCACTCGCAAAAAAAAAACGTCCAAAAGTATGCAATGATTTAGGGACACTAGTGGACTGCTTCCTTATTTTTTGTCACCTTAACCTGAAATAATTTGATTAAAATTTATCATACAAAATCAGTATTAAAATGGCAACTTAACAATTTAATAAATATAAATTGAATTAAAGAAAACCTAAATACTATTTTACAAGATTTTAATGAAACCATAAATTTCCAAATTGAAATTACAACCTTAAAAATTAAATTAAAAGAAAAGAAAAACAAATTTAAACAAGAAAGAAAGTTAATTTTCGCCAGCCAAAGTTTGTATACCCTTGCAGGTAACAATTAAAATATATCATAACTAAGCCAAAAATGCATTAATTTCGATTCGGAAAGCAGTTTTGTGTTAGTTTTTATTAATTTAAAAAAACTGCATACCAAATTTAAAATTTTAAGAAATCAAAATTTTTGGCCATTTTTGCCAATTTTAATGATGAAATTTCGCAAAATTGGCCAAAAAATTGATTTCTTCCGGACATGTCTAGAAAGATTCCCCTGTTGATGCTGATCATGAATATATATGGTTTATGGGGTCGGAAATAATTCCTTGACTTAGAAAAATATTATTTTGTATTATAAAATCTGATTTTTTATATTAAAAAACTTCTTGATTTTTTTTAAATTAAAAATATCATAACTCAGCCAAAAGAGCATTAATTTTAAATCGGAAAACTGTTCTGTGCAAGATTTTCTACAGTTAATAAATCTGCATACTTCATTTAAAAATTTTGAAAATTCAATTTTTTATCAAAATCAAAAATTTTAATGAAAAATTATAAATTTTGCAAAAATGGCCTAAAAATCAATATCTTCCTGACATATCTAGAAAGATTCCCCTTGTGATGCTGATCAAGAATATATATACTTTATAGGGTCGGAAACGTCTCCTTCACTGCGTTGCAAACTTCTGACGGAAATTATAATACCCTGCAAGGGTATATTAAGTAAAAATGAGCAGAATTTTTAACCCAGCTGGTCAAACACTCCAAGCACTTGCCTCGAAAGCTTTCCACTCTTTGGGAATATTTTGGTCACCAGACAGCCGGTTTATCAGCACGTGTGTGCTTTTGTGAGAGTGGCGGAACCCGATAATAAATACATATATAAGCGTATGGCAACAGCAACAAATCAATGACTGTATTACGACGTCACGGACTGCGACCGATGGTCGGCCTGTGCAGTCCAATTAAAACAGACGCTAAAAGCTTTTTTGTTTTCTTTAAATTAAATAATGTAAAACTTACTGCAGTTTGATCGATTTGGCGGCCGTTTAGGCTGCCAAAGACGCCATATCAGCGATTTGATTAAGACAAAGAAACCCAAATAATCTCGAATCGATTTGCGGGCGAAAACGTCTCGTTTAATTGTTCTTCAGGTTGTTTTTCGATTTTTACAATGCTTATATATTGACTATTCTATGAATCGGCATAGGTTTGTTGATCTGCTGGAGCTCCTCAAATTCTGCCGGATAAGGGATGAGATCCCAATCGGTCAACGTGTGTGAAACCACCAGCCACCAGCCATGACTGGGAGGCGGAATATTTGGAAAGGAGCTATTATAAAATATACGCATGGATTTGAGGAAATAAGTTATTACTGCTCCAGGCCTTGCTAGTTGTCGATATTGCCATCATTGGTTACTTGTACTAAAACAGCGATCCGTGCGCCGCCATGTAAAATAATTTACTACTCAAACAGCCCCAGCGCGCACCTGCCCTGTCGCCTGGCATCGGCACACCTATGTTATGTGCATCGCCTTCGCCGCCTTGGCGGCCTGCACGCTAATCTCGTCCATACTCTTGCGAGCACTCTCCGTCACTTCGTCGATGGAGCGGCGCGTGCTGTGTATCAGTTCGTCCGTTCCCCGGGCGATTCCCTTGACTTCTGTGTTGATCAGACCAATCACCCATTCCAGGCCCTGCCGGCCCTTGCCCGCGTTAGAGCTAATGGTGGAGGTCAGTAGGTCCTCCATGTAGTGAGAAAGCGGGACGCCGTACACGGTTACCGTGGCCTCCTGCTTCAGTAGCGTTTTGCTCCCGTCCGCTGGATGTGGCTCATAGTAGAGCACTTCGTCGACGCTGATGTTGCGGCAGAATGTAAGGTTGTTTGTCTTTAACACCATCTGCTTGCGCTCCGGATCCACCGTAGAACGCTCGCTGGCGAAACACGTCTTGGCCGTGCCAATCAGCGCGTGCGTCCACTTAGGAAAGTACCATTTGGACTGCACCAGTCGGTGCGTGTGCAGCACTCCGTTGACCACCTGGCGCTCGACCACGTCCGTGCCAATGATGGAGGGAGTCATCGGGTTGGGGTACTTTCTCCACGCCGCCTGTGTTACAGTCTCCCAAGGATGGTTGAATGTGTGCTCTGACGTCCAGATTTTCATTATGCAAGCGCCGTTTGTCGTCACCGTTCGTAGGGGAGGGGATCAGAAGTCGCAAGCGAGCTAGCCTGTGGCCTGCGGGGCATGGAGCGGGAAGAAACAGAAACAGAAAAGCTTAGTTAGGTACGGTTCACGGTTCAAATTTTGATAAAAATGTCGGAATTAATAAATATTTCGGAGACAACTTTCCGAGAGCTGACCTTTACTCGTGTTGTGCGCTGGTAGAGGTGGCAATGAATTAGGGATGTGCAAAATATATCAGACTATCAATATATCGATATTTTTTAATAAAAATAAATATTTAATATCCTTTTATAAAATAAATTTTATATTCACATATATATTTATAAGTTGATTACGATGAATGACTGAAAGCAACGCCAGCTGAAAACAGTTTTTTCAATACAACCTTTTTATGCGAAATCTGCTGCCACTTATCGGCTCAGAGGTCACTGAAAATATCGGCTGAATGACTAAAAAGCCAGTGTGGCTTGTTTAGTTTGTATTATTAACATTTATTGCTAAATTAAAAGTACTTTTGTTTAAACTAATAGGGCCTTCCCACAAAGCTTGAATCCGCTTCCACCGTCCGTTGAACAAACGGTCCATAAGGCTTATCGATATAATATTACATCGAAGATTTTATAAAATTACTTTGTCAAATCGCGTTTATTGCCAAAGTTACTTTAATTTTCTTAATTTAAAAAAAAACACATCTTCAGTATCTTTGATATTTTCAAAGACCCACCCCCCAAAAAAAGAATCCGTTATCGATTGTGTCGGCATCGATAAATTCACCCGCTTAATTCAAACGTCTTTATTTTTTACACATTCAGGAGCATATTCTATTCACCTGCCTTGTTTTTTTTAACACAATTTGGACAGGGATATATTAATGGTAAAAAAGAATTGCACAAGTTCATACGCAAAAATATAAACGCCATGGCTATATGTTATATTATTTATTTTTGTTTTCAGACAATACACTTTCAAAAGCATACATTTTACAATGTCAATTACACAGGCAATATATATTATAAAAATAACAAATAGAACGCTATGGCGCCCAGCAGGTAAATATATAGATAGGTTAATTTTCGTAGAGCTCGATGAAAACGAGCTCACTTCGGATTAGATTAGTTAGTCACTTGAACGATGGAGACGTCGTACTTTGATAATACCATTAACCAAGTTAGAGTTGCACGTATGGAAAATTATTTGTATGATTTGGCTAACAAATAACGTATCTAAATCAATTGTCGCTAAAAATATGCATAGTTGTGTGTCGCTGCCAGTGGCGGTGGATCCAACAGAGCGCTCTAGTGTCTACTGTTTTCAGAGACTCACATCGGTAGGAGCGACTGGCTGTCGTGCGGGGATGGTCGTTCAATGGTCATCGAGGATTGCGGCACCTGGCTGTCGGTGCTAATGCCCAGGCTGGCGTAGATTTCCTTCATCACGAACAGGATGGTGTCCTCAGAGCCCCTGTTGAGATGTACATGATTTCTCAATTAATAAATAAATCTTATATAAAGAGAGGCTAATCACTCACCAGTAGCAAACATGGCTGCTTAGGGCGAAAATGTATTCGTTGATAAACTCCAGAGGCGCTTCCTGCAGGACATAGTCCACTCGCTTTGAGTCGTTCAGCTTGCCCAGCGGAAAGTCGAGCTCTATGAATTCCGGATCGGAGGCTGTGGTGGAGTTGGAATCTGTGCGATTACGTAGTTTGCAGGATGAGCTGGCCACCGAGCTCTCATCCTGATCTTCCTGGTGTTTATGCACAGCCTGCGAGGAGGTCTAAAAACACAAAACTTTGACGATCTAGTGCTTGGATTAATCCTGGAAAGAAAAACTCACCTGACTTGTCTCCTTTTCCAGTGACTCCTCGGCTTCCTTTTTCACCTTGGTCACGGTGGCCAAAAAGTTAACACTGTCCAGCGTGGTCTTGAATGTGTCCATAAACCTTTGCTTGATGTCCGCACCCACCCGCGTCATCGTCTCCCTCAGCTCCAAGTGCATCCGCTTGCGTCCCTTGTGATGGGGTATCAACACCGGCCGTATTCCATTCATATCCGGATTGACCAGGGCCTCGATGCGATAGGCCACCGGGTCGAAGGGATGGAATATATTGTAGAAGCCGGGACACGTGGGCAGGTGGAAGTCCAGGCCCAGCTTATCGATGCCGCGGATGGTCACAAACATACCGATGGGCGAGCCCAGGGCAAAGAACTTCTTCGGATGGAATATGAGCTGCGTGTAATTGATGACGGGCTGACCCGTTCCCGCCGGACCACCCATCGCGTAGCTGACCTGCTTGGGTTGCTGCAGATCGCTGCTAGGCAGCAGAACCTTTTGATTGAGCTTCTGTGGAAGCTGGTCGTCGGGATTCTCCTGCAAGAATATTGAAAGCTATAAAAGGTATTCTATAATTTCATCTCATTCCATTCCAATCACACACCTTATTCTCCTCTTCGCTCTCCTTAAGGGGCTCCTGATGGCAGAGCAGATCGAACAGGATCAGGGAGCCCAGACTGTGTCCCGCCAGAGAGACGCCGCCATTGAATTCTGGATGCCGCATTCTGTACTTCAGATACACATCGTTGAGGGCATCGGCCACCGTGTTCATGATCTTCTGGCAGTACTTAGGACTCGTGTAGAAGAGCACGTCGAGCAGCGTGTCATTGGTGAAGTTGCGCAGGCGCGGAATCGACTCCAAAGTGATGGACTTGAGTTTCTCATCGATGCCAAGCTCCTCGGAGTGCAGGTGGCCGTGCCAGGAAATGGGCAGAACCTCGACACGACCCACCAGTCCCATGTCTGTGGAGTTTTTGTAGTGCGACGATACAAGCTGCTGGGCAATTACCCGGAAATCGTCCACTGTAAATAAAAAAAATTGTAGTTATAAAACATGGAATTATATATCGTCAATTAACGATGCAATATCCCCAGCTACGTACCAACTTCCTCCACTGATCGCATTTTCAAATCGCAAGCAGACCCTATGCCATGAACCATGAACAGCAAGTGATCCACACGCTGGGATTCACCCTGTTCGATGGTGAAGTCTTCTAGATCCCGCTTGACCACCCGCGGTCGCATGGAGCCCTGCGTACTGCCACCCCAGGCACTCTCCGCATTCTGTTGCGGCAGGAAGTGCACGATGACGGTGGGTCCGTGGAAGACCACCTGCTCGCCGCCCTCCAGCAGGATCTTCTGATGCCACTCGCCTGTCTCCGCCGAACGCTTGTACTCCGATTCCAGGACGGCGGCCGTGTCCTCGGTGTAGGGCACATACTTGGAGTCCACGCCCTTGTAGAACCACGAGCAGCGACGCACCTCGATGGCCTTGCCCTCCCAGTAAACGGGAGTCTTGGTGCGTTCCTTGATGTTTACGTCATATCGGCCACCCTCGACGGGCACTATTATTGTGGAGTCGTCTGGAAGGGGATTATCTTATTAAATTTTTTGATTTTACCCTTAAAGGGGTAAACTTACCCTGATTAAGGCTTGTTTCTAGCAGGGCCGAATCATAGTGGCTGAATGGAGTCCAAATGAACTTGGTGTCCACGCTCCGTTTGTAGAACCAATGGGCCACCACTGGCGAGTAAGTCTGTCAAGGATTGCATTAATTAATTATTTGAAATCGTAGGGCTATTTAACTCATCAAGCTAACTTTAAACGTTTCGCCACAAATAAATTGTGAAAATGTCCCGGTTTTCAACCGATTTAACCTTTCCTCTACCCTTAAGGTACTTACTATAGTCACCGGCGGGGTAGCCACCTGGCCCTTATCGCCGCTGCTGCTGCTGCTGTTGGCATTGGCCATTCTGATCTCTCTGAGAATCTCCTCGGGCAACTCTCCGAGATGCTGTTGAATCAGATCCTCGCCTGATTGATGGCGATCCGGGGATATGTTCGCAGCTGGTGCGAGTGTCGAGAACTCAGAGCAGGCGGACGATGGCGGCTCCACAAGATTGGATACGGGTGTCTGCGAGCGTTCTGGCAGCTGCTTCACAGCCAATCCACTGTGAACGATGTCGTACTTAAGTTCGCCTGGCGCGGCTGGTTGATCCTGCAGCGGCGGATTGTTGAAGAAGTTCTGGATGCGTTGATCTTCGTTGGCCTGTTGGCTGCTCTGTAACTGTGGCTGTGGCACCTGGTCAAAGAAGTTGACCGGACCGCAGTGAGGATCTGCAGGAAGCGCAGGGACTGCTGCGGGCTCGGGGGCACCGGGGCCACCAAAGAAGCCGGCAAAAGAGTTGACACTTGAATTTGGATATGAATTTTCGTTCGAACTTGGAAGTGCGGTTTGTTGTGTCGCTTGCTGGGATGGGTTTAGTAGCTGATCGAATCCGAGTGGAGCCGGCGCAATGTCCTGGTGGTCTACAGGCGGCTCTTGGGCCAAGGCTGGCGGTGCAACAACTCCCTGTTGAACGGGCAACTCCGGAAAGAGGCTACTGGGAGCAGGACTTCCAAAGAAGTTAAAGTCTGCGGAGGCACCTGTTGCCGGGGTAAAGAAGTTCTGCAACGGCGAGGGAGCCGGCGGTGGCTGGGCAAGTGCTCCGACCTCAGTTGGCGGCGCCACAAATCCTATTGGAGGTGGCACCAAGTCCTGGCCAGCCTTCTGGATCTGCGGTGTGGTTACAGTTTGCGCAAATGGGCTGAAAACAGTTTGAGTCTCGGAACTACTCTGGAATAGATTTGGTGTAGCGGCGGCCTCTGGGGATCCTAGCAAGTCACTCGCTGCAGCAGCGTCCACTGCCTCTGCTGACGGAGTGTTTGAGGTTGGTGTGAATATAGCTACTGGAGGAGCAGTAAACAACGAAGTGGTGGTAGTCGAATCCTCTTGAGCTGAGCTCAAGAACGGTTCAGCTAAAGTTGCAGAATTGGGGATGGACCTTGGGAAAACTGCTGGAGACGGAGCGAAGAATGAACTGGAAGTGTTGGATTCAGTGGCCGTTGCTGGTGGTGGATACAGCGGCACAGCTTCACTGGCGGCTGGCACGGGCACAAATAGAGGTGTATCTTCTCCGACTTCCACGGGCGCCGATGGAGCCTGATCTGGTTCTACAACAGGTTCAATAACTTCAGGAGCAAACAATGGTACCTCCTGTGGTGCAAACAGCGAGTTGTTGGGTGGAGAAGCTTTCTCTGCTGGAGGAACAGCAAACAAGGAAACACTTTGTGTGGGTTCTTGGACTGTTTTTGTTGCAAAAAAGGATCCTTCTTGATTTTCCAATTGCTTGGGTGGTTTCTCTTCTTCAGTTGTTTTCTCCTGGTAAAGTGGATTTCCGGATGCTGGCGGAGGAGGTGGTGCAAATAAAGTAATTCCTTCGTTTGATCCCTGTCCAGTTGGAGGACCACTTACAATAGGAGCAGTTGCAATCTCTGCGGGATTAAAGAATGGAATGCCCGTAGATGCTGGTGCAAAGAATGGAATTCCTGGATTAGTTATGGGTTCTTGGACCTGTGATTCCTTCTGGATCAATGCAGTTGGTACTTCTTCTTTAGTTTCGGTTGGAATAAAGAAGGGAATGGCCGCGGATGTTGGTGGTGCAGCAAAAAGTGGGACACTAGCAGTTCCAGCTGCCAGGAAAGGATTTACAATGGATGCTGCTACTGTAGGTGGAGCTGCTGCTTGTGCAGGTGGAGCAGCTGCTTGTGCAGGTGGAGCTGCTGTTGGAGGTGGAGCAGCACTTGCCAAGAAAGCCGAAGGCAGAGCAGGCTGTGGAGCAATCTGATCTGCACTCGGAACAAAGAGTGGAACCTCCTGCTGACCCAACGGATTGAAAACGGCCGGAGCAACAGCAGCTGCTGCCAATGGGTTAAAGATGGCAGCCGGAGCAGATGTGGGCGCCAAGGGAGCGGCGTAGCCAGATGAGGCAGCGGTTTCCTGGGCTGTCAACGGGCTTTTGTACAGACGCGTTCCCTTTTGAAGGCGATAAGATGCCTGGCCAGCGGCTGGCGGAGGAACAGCTGCCACGGGCGGGGCACCAGGCAAAGGATTCGGATTGGAAGGCAAGAACCCAGTGGCTGGGGGAGGAGTTGCTGTTGGCAGAACACCTCTAGGTGTGAATAAACCTGCTTCTGGTGTCGGTGCTGGCGGTAGATTTGGGGCTGATGTGGCGGCTACCGGTAATGTGGGAACAGCTTGTGCTGCGACTGACGGTGTTCCTGGGTTAAAGAAGCTTCCTGCAGATGCTGGTGGTGCTGCCGGGTTAAGCAAGGGCACAGGTGCAACAGGAACGGCAACAGCAGGTTGCTCTCCTGGGGGATTAAAGAAACCTCCAACCGCTGGGGAAGGAGCTGCCGGGTTGAAAATAGCCTGAGGAGGTACTGATGCTGCTCCTGGTGGCGCAAAGAAACCTCCTGCTGGTGCTGGAGGAGGCGCTACTGCTGCCTCGCCTGGGGCCTGAGATGAAGCGGCTCCAGGCACGAAATAGTTACCGCTTTGCGGTGCTGCCGGAGTTGGACCCCCAAAGAAGTTTGTCGACGGAGCGGCTGGCTCTGAGACCGTTGAAATGTCAAAGTATCCTCCTGTTGATGGCGGAGGATTGCTAGGATAGCTGCTCACTGGCTCGCTACTTCGTCCTGTGGCGGATTGCACTAGCCCGGAGATGTTTTGAAGCACGCCCGTTGGCACGAGACTGGTCAGGGAGAAGAGCCCTCCGCCGGACTTGCGTTCCTCTACGGGCGGCGGAGCGGGCTGAGCTGATATGTCAAAGGGTGGAGCTACTGCCGGCGTCGGCTGTGGTGGATACGGGGGTGTCTGGAAGGGTAGAGTTAGTGCCGCTTGAGTTGTCGGATGTGGCTGCTGTTGTCCAGGCTGACCGGTTGGATCCGAGAATCCGGGAATGGGAGCGTAGAGCTTCTTCTTGGCTGCGAATCGATAGGTATTGGGGTTTCCCACTGTTGGCGGCGGTGCAGTGAGTGCTCCTGCGTTAGGTGCTGGGATCTCAGTGGGAGCGTAGAGCTTGGGCGGCTCGGGGGCAGCGACCACTTCGTTCGCCGCTGGCGGTGGAGCGGCATAAAAGGGAGCGGGCACCGGAGCTACTGGAGCGTAGTTGGCCTGCTGAATGTAAGTGGGCTGGATATCCAGTCGCGGCTCCTCCGATTGCTCCCTGCTGCCGGCGGCGTAGATGCGCTTCGAGAAGGAGGAAAACACGTTCGAGGCCACCGAGGGCAAGGCGGTGAACGAGGAAGCCGCCTGGCTAAGCAGTGAATCGTTTCCAGCTCCCGGCGGTGGTTCCAACAGAGGATTGGCGTTGGGATCACTTGCTCCGTGGTAGGGGCTCGATCCTGCCGCTCCAGCCGAGTCCTCGCTGCTGGTATTTAAGTTAATCTCGTCAAGAGCTTCGCTGTCGTCAATGCTCGATGGCTGACCCACAGTAACTAACGATTTGGGTTCTAAAAAAATGAAAATGAAAATAAGTAGTGGTTATTTTAAAACATATTTAAAATTCTAAGTAATAATTCATAGAAGATATTTAAAGAAATTTTAATTCGAATTGGATTTTAATAATTTGAAGCCTTTCAGGCAGTTTTAAAGTGGTTTCAAATTTGTACAACTTTTAAGGGCATCCCTGACATTTTCCGGATATGGAATAAATTTAGAATGACTCGGAAGCGCCTGATGGGGCGTGTTCCCCTCCTTACTCTAATTCTGGTTCTCCGTTCGAAAAAAACCGAAGCACAAATCAAAACACAATGATAATGAATGCAAATTGAAATCGACCAGCGTACAAACACAATTAAAAACGGAACCGCTTCAAACTGGTTTACGGACTCGGGTCTGGACGCGGAGGCGGAATTGGAATAGGAATTGGAGGTGGTGACGGGCTTTGACTAGAGCAAACAAGATGCTGATCAGTACCTTTAGTTTTGAACCATCACTCTTTATGTTATTTTAAAGAGATTTTATTTTAAATATTTTTTTATAGTAATAAACTCGCCATAATAAACTTTTTATTAAACAAGAAAGGCTCAGAGCAAAAGAAAAGATTTTAAATCAATAAAATATTATCTAAAAGTATGCTACACATTAGGCAATAATTCTACAAAATCTGGCACGAAAATTAAAAATAAGATGTAATTAAAAAACATGTTATAAATCTAATTTCAATGGTAAAGTATATTCCTCAATTCGCTCACAAATGGATATCACCTTCAATTGGACTCGATATTGTTTTTATGGTTCAACAATTTGATTAACCCATAATTAAGAGCAAAACAAACGGGTCAGCTAACATTTTAGAGCGGGTTTTCATCCACTTTTCGACTTGCTGTGAACTAAAGTGAAGTGAGGGCGTCATAAAAAGCCAAATCTTGACATTAGGCTTCAGTTGAAGCGACAGAAATGAGCCGCGGAGCCAAATGTCATGGCATTTCGGAGGAGAAGAAGACGACGACGTCGCTCTCCGGAGTTTGCCGATGAATGTGGAATGGAAAGCATGGCAAACGTGCCGTTTGCCCAGCAAATACGTCAAAGAATTCACCTCGATCTTGAAACGTGATTGGATCCGAGAGCTGCTGAGCTGCAGCTTGAGTTCTTTGAGCTTGGACTTATTTCTTGTTCTTTTTTGCCGGCCGAAAGGTTTTCACACCTCTAACCGCGACTATTTTAAGAACCGCATTATTCACATATTTAAGCGCGAGTTTGAAATTGTTCACCACGACCGCCAGCTGCATAACCAGATTCCGAACCGCAATCCCCAAGATTTAGGAATACGAATGCGGCACATTACTACTATGGGACCTAGACATGAGATATGGTATATACAGATAAGGCAGGTCTCAGGTCCGGGCAGATGCGTCCGGAATAATCACGGCAATTTGCATATCAGTGTTCCTTTCTGCCCAAGCAATTGCCATTTAGTTGTGTGCGATCAGGTCTATTAATCACCGGTATGAATTCGCAATTAAGGCATTATATTCTAAGCCATAAATATGATAATTGCAGGAATAATAGGTATTCGAAGGAAATGCAATGAAAGTTAAATGAATTAACATAACAAATGGCAGTATTATTCTTTAAAATCTTTAGTCGTAACTATAAAATATAGAATGAGGAATGCTTTTAAATAAAAATTGACTCACACTAATGGGTTTTCTTAAACTTTCGCTTTTAGGCTTATCGGTAAGTCGGTTAAAAACAGGCCCAAATATTAGCCTACCCTTGACGGATAAAATCAATGACTAAAAAGTCTTTGTATTTGATTTAAGCTTACTCTCTATTTGGTTAAATAAGTGTTTAATTAATTTATTAATTCATCTAATTCATATCACCACGAATTTCTGTTCACTGTATTTAAATTATTTACGCTTCTATCTACATTTCCTATTTAAACTGGCAAGGAAATCGAGAGATTATAAATATTTATACTCCTCAAATTGTCTTAAAAAATCACAAGTATTAAAGTTGAAATCTCGCATTGCCCAACTATTTTTGCTTAATATTTTTTTTTGCCGCTTCCAAGCACTTGACATTGCCGACTTGTGTGTGTTTGCATTTATTTTGTCACTTTTAGGATCGTCATTTGTAACGACTAAGCAAAGATTAGCTATGGCAACTGCTTGAGGTGGGGCTTGGGGGCTTGAAAACGCTGAATAGCGACGACAAAAAATTTCCAGTTTTTCGGCTTGAGTTTTTAGGGGGGCTTTTCGCTTTGTTTTCATTATTATTATTTACAAATGCCCGCATTGACAATGACGCATTACGACAAATGTGTTAAAATAAATAAAGAGACGATCGTCGAACCGCAAATGCGGTTAAAAGTAGAACAGCATAATTCATCCCCATAAAACAAAGCAAAAGCCACAGAAAAGGTGGAAGAATTTTCGGCATTAATTTGGGCATGACATCATAAACAGATCGCGGCCACTCGATCGCCCCGATCGAGCGACGACGAGGGGGCATCCGAGAAGTCTTCAGCAACTCCAACTCGGCGTCGCTCCGTGTCCCAAGTGCCTGCGCATAATGGCACTCAAATAAAACAATTAAGGCCCACATAAGCACGTCAAGCACGATGAAATCATTTGCAGGATACACAAGCCGACCGCAAACAATGCCTCTATAAAGCGCTGCCCCGAAAACAGAAAAAAAAAAGATTGCCATCAATTTCGGAATTTAAACGTTGGCCGAAAAGGCTCGTGCAGGTCGCATGCCAAAAACCCGGTCTAAAAAGCAACCCAAACAATAATAAAAAAAATAAAATAAAATACAGAAGACGGCAAAAATGTTTGGCATTGAACCCTCGGGCGAAACAAAACAGAAAAAGAGACCAAAATTAAATCAAAATAAATCTCAATAAATGCGTGCTTTTTGGAAATTGCGCGACGCGCGAAGATGATGATGGTGCTGAAGAAGCTGCTCGAGACGACGGCCTGTCTGCCTGTGCCAGCGGCTACACAATATAAATAAACTGGCCACGACAGTCTATACTCTCTCTGTAGGCCCGTCAAGTACATTCCTATTTAATGCAAAGCTTTGCCATTTATAGGTATCTCAGAATAAAATAGAAAAATCGTTACCCATTAATATTATATTGTTATATTGTTTTATTTTTTCCTTGTCATTTATTGATTCTAGATAGAACCTTTTGGGAATTTTAAAGCAATATATAATAATAGTACAATAATAGAACTTATATCCACATTTATTGATAAAGAACACTTGCTAATTTATCTTCAATTTTTTTAAGAAAGTTTAGAGCTCTTCGGCCAAGTTGGGTTAGATTGGGTAGTACGCTCGTTAACCCATTGCGTCGTGTGTCATCTTTGCTTAGCACTCCCTGATGATCCAGGAAATCAATGACAAAGAGTCTTTTGTCCGATTGAGACGTTTGCCCCTCAGCGGTCCTTAGAGTCTCTTGTAAATGTGTTACCATGTTCTCGCAGTTGTCTCGGTTTGATGCACGGTTAATGGCATTTTGCAGAGAAATCTTAATATTCTTGACAACATTTTCCACCGAATCGTTGCCATTAACGGGTTCTAGGACTTTGCAATCATATTCAGGATCCACTGGCAAGCCACTGATAAATTTCTGAAGTTTTTAAAGACTTTAAGACTATGACTATTAAATAACTTCCACAGAATTCTTACCAGCAGTGTCAATGAAATAATTACGAGATAGTAACGCATGTTTCGAGTTCTTCCAAATAAATGATGTCTATGAAGGAACTCTTGTCCTTTTTATAGTCTTGAAAACTCTACAACTGAGGTCTCCAAAAAATAGGGAATGAAAAAAACTACCTGTATCAGAAAATCCAGTTTCCTAACAGAAACCTTTTTCTTACTTCAGTCATAATGCCTTTCAAAAGACAGAGCATTCTTCCAGGACAGCCGAAACAAAAGACTGAGGCAACAAACTCAGGTAGCCAGTTCAGGCGAAAAATAAGGTGACGCAGGGACTGGCATATTTTCGAAGGTATTTCGTCGGGGTAAAACCCTTCGGGGTATGCTAATTATGTCAGCCACCCACTGCCACACCCATTGACCCGTCCCGCCCCGTCTGTGACGCATCTGCGGCAATCTCGCTTCCTCTGGGCAATTCCGACTGCGGATTCCTATGACTCTATCTTATCGACACGAGGTGCGGCTTTTTATCTACATCCATTTGCAACCAATTGTTCAATATTTAAACAATTTATGGGCCACAAACCGGCAGACAACTCCGACCACAACGCGACGCGGGTGACAAACAGTACAAAAAGGTCAGTAATTAGTAAAGTTGTTTTAGTTGATTGACAGTCGCGGATCGGCTTACAGCTACCTCCCTCAATCCTAACCCAGTGCAAGTGAAACGATCCGAAAAGGACTAAGGATAACAGTGAACCAAAGTGACAAAAGTCTAAAATTCAATTATCAAATTACTAAAGGCTGACACCGCCTTGCACCAGTTCGTTCTTCAGGCTCGTTTAGCTGCCAGCACTAAAACAAGTTGGTAATTTTTGATTAACACCCTCTGGGCTATGCGTACGCGTTTATATATTCATCATAAAATTAAACCAGCCTCGGCAAGACACAAACAAACAAAATCACTAGCAGAGCAAAGCAAAACCGAGCCGAGTCGGCGGCAAATGAAACGATAATACAAACAATCGACACAAACCGATTGCCAAATATTTAATTTGTTTTATTGAAAAGGTTTTTCTTTTGCGCTCCCTGTACCCGAAAGTTGTTAATTGAAGAGATACTCCGAAACAAGTAAAAAATAAAACAAGCTACAGCAAAAGAAGGGCACCAACGAAACTGATTGCATAATTATTGGCAAAAGCATAATAAAAGCGAAGTAAAAAAAATTGTAAAGTGAAAATTGCGTGAGCTGCATAAATTCTCATTGCAATAAATTTGATTTCGAAAAGAGGCTAGCTCCTTGGATCGGTCTTTCGACCAAGCTGTATCCTCTAATTACAGTCTTGTTAAATAAAAAATAAGTTTATTTTATATGTTCTAAAGTAGTCTACCTACTATAAAGATACTAATGTATTCTTTATATATGTAATTTATTATTAAATCTTGAGTAATGTATATCGATTTATCAATTTTAAAAGTACAGCCCTTACCACACGAAAACTTTGGACAGGTGCTCATGTCACAGCAGGGAAGTCAGAAAACAAGTACTTAATAGCTCAACGTAGTGCAACAATTCAAAGTCGAACACAGAGTGGTTCAATGGTTTCTGCCAAGCACCTTAGCATTAGGAAGTTTTCGACAGACGCACGTAGGTCAAGATGGGCACGATTTTGTGCGGGGGAAATACGTCAAGTTAAGCTAAACACGCTCCACAGTTTGTCATAAAAGCTAAACAAAAGAAACACCAAAACTATTGTACAACACCCTCGGAACAAGCTGAAAGCCTGTGAGACTCACAAGAACGCGATATAAAATGTGCACAAATATGTTCTAGCTAAAAAAAAACCGAGTCTAATCAATGAATTTAGATGTTTGTACTCTCACTACACACTTTACCACGAGCAAACTGCTTATTTCTAAGGAATTTTATGAGGCTCAGGTAGGGGAAAGCAACCCTTCATTACTCACAGAAAGAGGGAAGAAACCTCAACACATTTCCGCATACAACACTTAAATACACAGGCATTAATATATGCCGCGACTATATATGTACGCGGCTATATTTATTATGATTTTATTGATGCTATCAGCGGCTGGCAGTCGGAGTTGTCATATTAAATTCATTTCACGCTCCATTTTAATGCGCCGGCCAGTCGGGTAGTCGAACTTCCTACACAAGTTCACAGCCGCTCGGTTTTGCATGAATTTTGACAATTCCCAAACTGATTAAATATTCAGTTTGCATGCCGCCAATGCGGTTAATTTTTTGCCATAACAATTCCCTCAGCAAAAAGGTCAGCATGTTCAGAACTTTGCCAGCAGAAAAATTTGCACATATTTAATAACTTTAAACTTGAAAAGGAATAGGGGAAATAAGTGTATTAACCTGAATAAAAATATAATATAGAAAATCAAATATAAATCAAGTACAGTTTTTAAAGTGGTTTATTTTAAAAAATTTCCACTTCTTAGTATAAACTCGAGTTCACTTGGTAGAACCGATAAGAAAAAATATATAGAAAATATTGATAAGCCCCTGCCAGAGGAGTATAAAAGCTGTACAGAGTCTCAAGACGCTTGCAGTAAATAGATCATTACAGAATGAAGTTATTGCTCATAATTATTTGTCCAACTTTCCTGGCAAGTACTTATTAAAGAACAATCGCAATCAAAAAATTATCCAAGTAACTTCTTAGATTCTTGTCCGAAGCAATCTTTTGGAACGAAAAAATGTAGCCATTTGTGAGTTCTTAAAAAAAATCGAGGAGTTCCACTCAGAACAATGGGAGGATTCGGTTAATCTGTTAAAGACGCTCCTGGGACAAACCATCAATGCTACGTCGGCTTTTCCGGAGTATAGGGATTCCATGGCATTCCTGCAGGACTATCTCGATCGCGGAAAGTCCATTGATCAGTCAACTAGTGTTCAGAGAAAGATGGAATATTTTCAAGGATTCACTGCATACGAAAATAAGCCAACTTTGGATCTGACTACCGAGAAGGGGAAGGAGTTGGTGAGGCATCTAGATAGTTTTAGGCAGAACATTATGGGTGTCCTATCAAAATTCTATACAAAATACATTGAAGCAGGACGAGACATGGGTGCGACATTGGACGCATTAAATGTGACATTTTCAGATGAACTTTTCATGGTGCTCTACGAATATCCACCGGAGTATAGGGGATCTGGGATTGAAAGCCTGGGATCTCGTATTCTTGCCTTTAAGGTTAGATATCCGTGTGTTTAAAAAATAGCAAGGTGTTGTTGTAATGATTAATAAAACCATTTATGCCTTTTGCACAGATAAATATGTAGGTAAACACAACTTATGATAAGTAAATAACATTTATCTTAAATACACATTCATAAATATTTGTAAATATTAAAGAAATGATTGTAATTACTATAAAAACAGCATATTTATTTTTATGATAAGCACATTGCTGTGGCGAAAACATCAGATAAAGTTTATCTGAATTTATTAATTAAAAATTAATTAAGATTATTGAATTAAAAGTTATCTTTTCTAATAAATTAAACCCCCAACTAAAATTAAGAATTTTTACTAATCACATTGACTAGATGAAATCTTGTGTCCAGCTGTTTCAGTCGCAATATCAGTACATGTGTGTGGCACAGGTAACACTCGGTTGCATAACAGGTTGATACTACCACATATTATATGGGAACAGCCAGTTAACCGAAGATATTTCCATGGCGCTGGCGGCGCAGAGCAACCCAGAGCCAGTAAACAATCGTGTCATGAACATATCCAATTGTGGCATCAGCTCAGCTGCTCTCCAGCACGTTGTTTCGCTTTTTTTTTTATCAGTGGCACGCTCTTCTAGATTCCAGCAGCAGCCCGTGGCCAACAGCTATAGCTGCGGACATAGCTATGGCCATATACCTGCCCCGATCTCGGCGACCGAACGAGTAGCGCCGAAGCGATACGATCCAATCCGATCCGAAATAAGCTGTGCTCCGAGAGCCGCAGCTGTGTTAATGCTTTCAGTTTCATTTGAGACGTTGACGCGATCGCCAGCACAGTCAGCTTGAATCAGCTAAATCGCGGCAGTTGGCCAGTCCAATATCGCAAAACCACAACTGGCTGAAGTACACTTAAACGGGTTAATCCAATACATGACCGAAAAAGCGAACGCTCTTAATTTTTTGTATACTTTTTCGGTCGCCCTCTGCAAGTGAATTCCGATTTCGGTTTATTTGGTGATTTGCATAATAATAATAATAATCTGCAAGTTAATAAACAATGCAAAGAAGTGGGCAAAACTCATAAATAAAGTGCACCGCCTAAAGTGTAATTAAAATCCATTGAGATTTTTTTTTGAGCGCACAGCAAGGAGAAAACAAGTTTGTTGCCTAAGTTATTTGTTTTGAAATTTCAAAAATTCCAAAAAACATTTAATAACAAGTATTAAAAAAAAGAGATAAATCTCTGACTTGAAGTCGGGGGCCACGTCGACAAGAAGAGTTCCATAAAAGGCAAGTGAAAGAATAAATTAAAGCAGGTTTAATTAAAATATTTATACAGAGAACAGAATAGTAAATTAATAAATGTTTTTCTGTGAGTAAAAAAGGGAGAGGAAAGCCCAAAACAAATCATTAAATAACAAAAGCCGTCCCAGGTATATAAATCAAGTTCAGAGCAAGAATTAAAATGTGAATCAATTGGATCTCAACTCGTTTTATTTTCAGGCAAAGTCAAAGTTTAAACTGTTGTTACTACACCGTTTTGTTCCCATTAGTTTTCAGAAATTGCTATGATAATGAGCCAATAGTGGCTGCCCATAAAATCCCTTTGAAAGGTTTCCGACAATCAACAATACCGATTGTGTGCTTTTGAGTGCTTTTTTTTTCAATGCCAAGAAAATAAACAATAAATGCGCGTGGGTTCTCCAAGGGTTCCAGTCCAATCCGCACGATATTCATAGCTGATGATGATGATCGTCCAATGAAGCTGCCACAATTAGAGTGCATTTCAAGTTGATTTAGCTAACACGAAGGGGTGTGACTGGACTGAGGGGGGGATGCCAAGCAAACGCAATTTGAATTTATAATTTTCGCAATTATTTTTCATTAATTTAGGAGGAGGCCATAAAAACGGCAAATAACGTCCGAGTGATATAAAAATCATAGCGAAAATAAATGCTTACGCGTCTGTTAATCACAATCGAGCTTCCAAAGCACTCGACGATTCCGGCTAATTGCAACAGCCACAAAAAGCGAGAAAGAAATATGTAAATAAATAAATAAAAAACCGACAGAACAACGTGCTTGCTCGCCTCTCTAATTTGTTTATAGAACCTGTGCGCTTTTTATGAAGCAAAGCGAATCAGCAGCTGATTGATGAACTGCCACAGCGTGCTGTGTTTTGTATGGAGTTTCTGTTTGCTTTTTTTATCTTCGCACTTTTCTTTAATTACAAAATAAATTGCCTTTAAATAACGAAGAACCTCAGTCAGGCTACAGATATACCCTAGTTAACATAAACACATAAATCAAATTAAGGGGATTTTATTTACCAATAAATATTTATATATTTCCTGGCTTCAAAACCAAATGAGATTAGCATCTTTTGTTAGACTGTTTTGTTTCTTTCACATTGAAATTGTTTAAATATTTGATTTATGAATCTAAAGTGCTTTTTATGGCTTGTCTAGGTCTACATATTCTCAGCTGTCTTCCATAATCTTATCGTGGTTCAAGTGTTTACTGCGTCACCTATAAAGGGTTTAAGGTTTAAATAGCCTTCATATCTTATCGATTTCTGGCATTTATTTAATATTAATTGCAATTAAATGTTTACGATCTTTTAAAGGTATAAATAAACTTACGTTAAACTTAAAGATTCATTATTGCTTTCAACTTTTCTATTTCTACTTTCTATTCACCCCAAAAACTTTCCAAATTTTCGGAACTGAACAGATCAGCCAAGTCTATTGCAATCTTCTCTAGAATTACGTGACCGGCAGCTTCAGAAAATCTAAGAAAATAAAAGCTGCTGAACAGCATTCGAGCAGAGATGACTTATGAATGGTGGGTTTTGTGCAATGGATTCAACCATTAAGACCGATAAAGACCATCAGACGTGCCTCTCACGAATTTATCACGGCTCCAAGGGAGACCCCAAGGGAGGCCCAAACTTTGGCTATCAAATTGCATTCGCTCCTCGCCGGACTGACCTTGCAACGCACAAAAATGTACAAATAAATTTCGAGTTGATTCGGGCAGCTGCTGCCAAACGAGAAAAACGAAGACAGAATATTTTAACTTAATTTATTTCCATTTTACGCATCGATGCGATATACATTTTGAATTTCAACTTGACTGTATACTTGTTTCTTTCGTTTTTGTTGTGTTTTTATTTTTTTTGCGGCTTTGCATATTGTTAATTAATGGCAGCTGCTCGTTTCGTTGGAGGCAAAAACGGCCCTCTCTTCACGCTGCACATCGCATCACAGCACAATCACAATCACATCGCAATCACGAGGCGCGTTAACAAAAACCGAGAGCCAAGAAATCAATCATTCAAATTGATTTGTTGGTAATTTGTTATTCAAACAGCCCCGGCACAAAACGGTCAGTAAAATGCAACAAAAAAAATAAAATAAAATAAAACCAACACACAAACGAAAAATATAGTGAGGGAAAATAACTTATCATAAAAGCGTTTGTGCATGACGCCTTAACCAAAGTGTTAATTGCATTTTGCCTAATTAAATATTAAAAATTGAGCAAATTGAAGCTAAGAGTTAGCGTGTTCCCTGCGGCTTTAATCAAGTTTAAACATTTTTATTTCTATTCATTAACGAATGTGTTCACATGTGTGATTTTTTATAAAATACCTTTTATTTTTATTGTCAACTCCGCGGCGACGTCTTCGTTTTTTGTGTTTCTATTTCCCTCACCTTTAGCAGGTTTGACAAAACCTTGACCATATAGTGTCTGTGTATATATATAATTTTTAATACCCTACCCAAGCAACTTGGACTTTCGGTTGATCTGTGCACGTACATATTTCACCTGCCTCTCTCTGTTTTTCTGCTTTCAATGGGCAATTTCGATGAGTCTTGTTCTTCAAGGTGTAAAAAATGCTGCATGCCCATGAACATGACTTTTACTAAATACTTTTGGCTCTCAATGAAAGTTAACAGTTTGTTTTTTTATTAATTATCTTAAATACATGTGTAACCTAGGTAGTTTTAACTCGATTTAAGTTTAGCTAAATGCCTAGAATCATATGAGAATAATTTTATAGCAAGGTAAACAGCACATTAGATTAAAGCCTGGTTTAAAATAACAAAGAAATAATAAAGTATTTAAACCATGTTAAAAATAATTCAAACAGCCTATATTTAAGCTGTTTTAAAATAACAAATAATACTGTATTAAATGTAATCATATCAAATTAAATAATAATTAAATTTATGACACTTCATTAACTTGTTTATTTTTAAAACCATTTAATTGTTCATCTCATTTAACTGACAACTCTCTATCGACTTCCGTATAAATGAAATGAATTCTACTGAATATCACGGATAAATGGAAATTTCCTCGAATCTAACATCTCTCTGCCATTTGTTTTCTCGTTTCTGGCAATTTGCCGTAAATGTTCAATTTGTCAGCTGATAATTATAATTATTTAAAATGATTTTAATAACAAACACGATGATTAATACAACGAGCAGTCAAAACATTTCACTTTTTTGGCATTGCGAAAGTGTTGAAAAGAAGACAGGCCGAAAAAAACACCACAAATTGTGTAGAAAAACTAAAAATAACGGTTTGACAAAAGTGAACTCGAAATAATAATGAATAATTGCGTCAATTAAGTAAGCGAAAGAAGTCAACCAACCAACCAATCAATCAATCATTGAACTCTCAAAAGCTTTCCAAAAAGTCGTAATTTTGACATTTTTGATGTGTTGCTCTTTGCAGACTTGGATGGTGACAAGTGAGGATAGCTAGAGGCATCCATATATTCAACAGAGATGATTTTGAGAACACAACTTTGGCTTGGCCTGCTTTTCCTGGGGCTGCTCCTCGCACCTAGTGTTTCTGGCGAGGACGAGGACTACGGCGGTGACATGGGCGTGTCCAACAACGACGAGATCTTTGACACTGCCCAGCTGGAAGCGGAGGTTGAATCGGAGATGCAGCAGCAGCGCAACAGCCTCGAGGAGGATCACACGCAGCCCATGGAACAGGAAATGTCCACCATGAGACCGGTGGCCCCGTACTCCGACGAAAATACAGCTTCCGAAACGATGGAAGAAGCTCCCGCGCAAAAACGCGTGGTAAAAGAGGAGGAACCTTCTAAGCCCTCCAAGGACTACTATTACGAGGATAATCCCGAAGAGGAGACGGTGGCCAGCACCACAGCCAGGGTAGCCACCACAATGATTCCCGAATATGTGCGTCAGGCCAAGGCGGAGAGATTCCCGCAGCGGGATCAGGAACATGATGCCTCCGACTACGTCGTGGAGGAGGAGGCCACGAAATCGGTGGAAGAACAACTTCCAGCCGATGTCTCATACCAAGTGGAGCATCTGGAACCCGTTCCCCAGGCTCAAGTTCAACAGTTGCCCAGTAAAGACAAACCCAATCCGTTCAAGTACTCCACGGAAGATGAGTACTACGATGACCAGACAGAGGTAAAGCCTCAGACAACAACTACTACCACTCAAGCGCCACTGCCCGTGCTGAGGGCTCGATTTGGCAGCTTCCCGTGGGCCACCACACAGGGACCAAATCTTCCAGCTGCCAGTACAACCTCCACCTCGACGACTACCACCTCGACCACGACAACGACCACCACATCGAGCACAACGCCCAGTCCGAGGAAGCAGGCCAAGCACATCCATGTGTCCGGTGGAGTCAAGCCGGAACTTTTGCCCGCCGATCAACTGCGGAACTACATCAAGGATGTGTACATTCGCATGCCCTTGGCCGTGATTATAGATCCCTCCTCCGCATCTTTGGAACAGGCGAAGCGACTCTACATCGATGCTTTGCAGGACAAAAATATTGACATTAAGATTGTCTTGGTTACACTTAACGGAGACGGTAAGTAAGCCTAGGTGTTATAGGATTCTTAATCTAAGATTAAAGAGAAACAAACCTAATAGAATCGACCTAATTCCCTGTTTTAGGAGCTCCCTCCGCCTTCAGCTTTAACAATACCCGCGAGTTTATCGCTGGCCTGAACAGCACCAAGGAGCACGAGGGCGGCAACTCATTTGTGGGCGTGCTCCATGCAGCCGAGCTGGTGCCCTACGATAGTGCCGTGTTCATATCAACAGCTTCGATTCCACCGCATACGGAACTGGTCCAGGATGCGGCCATTACTCTGCTTAAGAAGAGGATCAGGGTGAGTATTGGAGAGGGTAAATTGCACAGAAAACTACCAGTTTAAACAAAACTATCTTTAATCTATAATCTCTGAAGAAAAAAACCAAGTTTGAATTTGAATTCCCTGATTTATTCCAGCTTTTCCTTCTCTGGTACGGTGAGCGTTCGGGCAGCGAGAACGAAACGGAGGACGCTGTGGGCGGAATCCTGGGCGAGGTAGCCATACGGTCAGGAGGCGAGATCATCCACATTGTGAGCACCGAGCACGGGCAGCACATAGCGGGCAATACGGTGAGATATGATAGCAACGAGCAAACCTGACCAGCAATTGGGGTAATTAAAACTAAAGTGTGTGCAAAAAGCAAAAGCAAAAGCCAAAGCCAGACTCCGAGTTGTAGTCGGATGCTGAGGGGAAGGCCCAAAGTGTTGAAAACCGAAAGTGGCAGCGGCAAATGGCAACAAGATCCAGAGCCGAGTGTTGCCCAAGCAGCCAACTGAGACGAAGCCACTTGGATTACCTCTCGGCCAGGCCAGACTACACCAGATGGGCAGGTGGTGCTCGAGAGCTAGCGACTTGCCGCCGATGATGGTGCATCTTTTGTTGTTGTTGTACGGAGGCTACTGCAAAACTGGGTTATGGAAAGAAAAGTGAAGGGCAAACAAATCTGTTGATAGAAAGGAAGCCTAGACGAGTATGCCAAAAATAAACCCATCAAGCACAGCGAAAACAGGAAATCAAGTAATTTGTACTCGAATTCTGCAACGCTAAACAAGAAATCTGCATAATTGAAATTGATTGAGTTCCGGCTCTTTGAATTAAATTAATGACAATTTTACTACCTAAAATGGGCGAATCAACTAGGATAAATGAATATCATTTAAAACAACTAATTGATTATACAGATAAAACGATAAAACATTAACTTCCGAAAACGAAATTATCCTAATTCTATTTATATTTTGAGACCTATTTTCAGTGTAGGAGTATGATTCTTAAGTAACTACAAAATCACTAAGTAATTACTGATTAAAAAATACTTATTAAAACTATAAAAAAAATGTAATAGCTAGAATATATACTTATTTGCTACCCATTCTCACTCCCTTTTCTAGCTCACACTGGTTGCGGACGCCTATCAGGGCTCCCAGGAGCTGGAACTGCCGGTGGACACGACGCTCTCCAGCCTCCATGTGCGCATCGATGCGAACATGAGAAGGGCATCGATGGAGACGCCGAATGGTAGTTAGTCTTCTCTCCAAAACAACAACCGAGTTACCCAAGCACCGACTCCGTTGCTCAATCGCACTTACTAACGCAGGGTTGTATTTTAGTGTTTAGAGTCTGTGCCAAGCCTACTTAGACCTAAGTCCACTCCCTCCACATATGGCACATGCTCCTTAATAGCAAGAGAAGATCGATCTCTTCTTATAACATTCCAGACAGAGAGAACGACGACAATTGTGTACTCTACTCGTATTGTGTAATTTATGTCCTTAGCTCGTAAGAAATCCTTGACTAACCCAAAACCCAAGAAAACTCTGCTACCTAATCTCTTATAATCCCAAGTCAGCTCTGCTGATATCTGTATATATAGCCGAAGCCCCAACCAACGCTTTCCTTAACCAAAACGCTAGAATAATAATAATAAAAAAAAAAGCAAATGAACACGTAACCCTTAACTGTAGTACAAAGATAATTTCAATATATGTAACATTTATGTATGTTTACTGTTTTACCGATAAAGTAATAAATGTTTTAGCTTTCTAAGGGTCCACAAAATAAAAACAAAGAACAACAAACCTGATTTAACCATTAACCATAAACACTTTCATTAATTGATTATTAATTCTTGGTAACAGTTTTATGTTGGATAATAAAATACAAATAATTTAATTAATTTTTTTTAGAACAAAAATTGCTTGAGATCTATTTTTATTTAATCCAATTAATTCTGCCAAATTAAACCATTTAATATATTCAACAAAAAAGTCTTTATTGCTTTTTGTGAAAGAGAAATTTAATTTATTAAAATTAAATATAGTCTAGATTGGAAAAACTTAAATTGACTCTGACTTATAAATTTATAAAATCGTTAAACTCTTATAAAAATATTAATTAAAATGTGGTATACCTATTCACCTATAAATATCCAATATAGATTTAAGTTGCCAATTATTAGTATTTTTCACACATCACCTTGCACACTTTCTTAGCACTTTTTGTCTATTGTCCTTTTTGTTTTCGTCCTGATGGGTAAGTACTTTATAATATAAAAGGTTTTTGTGTTATATTCTTGTGTTTCTGTTCTAATTCTTGATCACTTTTCAACTGTCCCGCACAAAATGTTATTGTTGACTGACTAACAAACGCAAAACGTAGAACGGGTAAAGAGAGAATGGATCAGCAACAAAAGTAACCAGCCAGCGAATCCACCAGATTAATCATACGCCACGTTGAACCTGACGGACAAAGTCCGAATATATAAATGGCCAATAAAGCGAAGATTGCGCTCCGGCGGGTCAGCAGACAGCAAAATAATTGTGACTCAAGACTGATGGAAGGCTCGAGCTCCTACTTATCGCGCGCGGCAACCCAAAATAGAAACAACAAATAATAAACAAAAGCATTTTTGCCCGGTTGCTATCTTTGAATAATTTTTCGCGCAAGTTTTGCTAATAAACAAACGATATTTTAATCTTCCGGAAGTGTAACCAACACAGTCGCACAGCCACCCCACACAGACACAGACGCACGCACGCACACACACTCGCCCTCGCACCCTGAAGAAATCAATTCAAAGGGGCGGCGTTTTTCACTTGCCTGCCTCAACTCCAATTAAATTGTGGAGTTTTTACGCTTCTGATTAGGGGTTTTCTTTGCAAAAAATCATCTTTGCTGATATTTGGCAATATGGCAAATACAAAAATATTCACATCACAGCATAAACATACATATACATATACATACGTTTTATTAACAACAAATTAGGCACACTGCCATGGTCAAGTTCGCAAAAGTGGCCTGATTTGATAGGGAATTTCGTTGGATTTTAACACTTTTGACTATGTTGCCTGCACCGATTTAAGTCAGCCGTTAAAACAGCTCTTGGTCAACACTTTAGCGGTACTTAATTGTTCATAATTCGTTGATTTCACAAGGAAAAACAATTGTTTTGTGTCGCGTTTTGTTTTTTTGTAGACGTGTTTTCTTCTTTCACAACAACAACTACTGCGGCGCAGCTGCCAGGGCAGGTCAGGGTTGCCAAGGTTTCGGCGTGTGTCGAAAAAACTGCGTTATTCGTTTAGTTCATGTTTGTTAATTAATAATTAACAGCGGCAGCAAGCTCACGGTTTTGTGTTACACAAATTAAACGTTTATTGCACTTTTTGGCTGATTTTACTGAGAGTCGAAAGCGGTGGCAACGCCGCCAGAACACCTGTAACAGCTGACCGCGCTGCACTGTGACTGGCAAAACAGCTGTTGGATTGTTCAGTTTTTGTTTATTTGTTTTGATTGCTTTCCTTTTTAGAGATAAATTTGAAGAAATTGGCCAAGTTTAGCGGAGTTAATGTCACGGCTGTGTCGAAGCCCCACGAACTGGATGCCTTCGTACCGCTCAATAAGCTGCGACGAACTGCAATCTTCAAGCTGAAGCTCCAACCGGAATCCGGCGACGAAAAATACAACGTTTTTGTGCGGGCCGAAAGAAAGGCTGATGTTTTCTTGGGTAAGTTATGGAAAAAATAAGCACCCGAAGCTCGAACCTGGTGGTATCGACTGCCGCTCAGAACTGCGGTAATAGGCTGGGCTGTGTTTTTCGCCTCTGGAGATAACGAGGCTCGCGTCCGGGGATCTGTTTGCCCGAATGACTGCTGCTGCATCTGCTGATAACCGCGCCTCAACCTTGGATGGGATCGTCAGCGTTGACGCCATCATCAGCATCGTCGTCGTCTCGGTAACACGTGTGCACAGCTGGTTTCCTAATGTTTTTTCCCTTATTCTCCCCCATGTTTTCCGGCAGGCGACATCATCAAGCGCATCGATAGCTACTACAAAAGCGGGCAGACAAAGGCGAAATCGGCTCGCATCCAATTTCCCGACAAGGAGAAGGACACCGAGAAACTAGAGGAGGATGTGGATTCGCCGAAGAACGAGATCGAAACCTTCTCGGACAAGGAAATTCAAAGTGCTCCGAGTTTGAATCAAACCCTACTAGCTGCTGCCACCACGGGGCAGCCGAGAAGCACCCTAAATGCCATGCTTCTGCAGCGGTGTGGCACCAAAATTGAGCTGAGCACACAGTCCCAGCTCCTGGTCACCGCTGGCCAAATGGCCACGCTTCTTTTTGAGGTCACCAATATGCGTTCGGAGGCGGTTTACTCCACCATTCAGGTCACAGACGAGCGTCGCTTCCTGGTGCAACTGAATCCTACAAGGTAATTTCTGGTTTTGCTCAACTGATCACGTTTTAATCATGTTTTTATGTTGCAGATTAAATCTGCGCGCTTTGGAGACGGGAACAGTGCGGCTGACTGTTTTGGTACCCTTGGGAACGGCACAGGGCACCGCTGATAGGATCACCTTTACCAATTATGGTCGAGAAACAGCCACCTTGGCGGTTAATCTTAAGGTGGTCACCAGCATCGATGCTCAGGTGAGGATTTTTGTTGTTTTAATTAAAGTTACTTCATATTAAACGATCCTTTCTAGGACACAACTGGTCCCACGTTATCGTGGGAGTTTGGCAGTCGCTGTGATTATCTGACGCCCGAGTCCCTCAATTGTGGCGAACGCTTTTGGACGCTGGACGTCACCGCCCAGGATTGGCAATCGGGAATGCTGCGCTTGCAGGCCACACCACCAGAGGGACTCTTTTACCGAAACTACTACACTGCTGGGAGCTCGGAGCCACTGAAGGCCACCTACATGGCCTCCTGTTGCGAACCCAAGGTATCACTTGTCGCCTACGACGCAGCCGGTAATCAGAGGAGCCTCACCATCGATGTACGGGACGTGTATTTCAGCGAAGCCGCCATCGCAGCCATCTGTTTGGGGGTCATCCTACTGCTGCTGTTGATCGTGGCCATTATCTGGGGCATCGTGTGCTGCTACAGGCGGCGGAAGGTGTCGCTGGAACTGCCCACTTATAGATCCCACTCCACCAGGAGCATGGAGTAGATACTTGTTTTGTTATAATTGTGCCACAAAAAAACGAATCGAAGAAATATAATGCCAACGATGATTATGATTTTGTCTTAATAATAACCAACTTTAAATGCAGCAAGAAAGTCGGTTTATTGCAGATATTTTATGAACTCAATCGATTGCGAAAAATTCCCGGTAAAATTAGAGCAGCTCTCAATTGGGTGGGCTTATCAGCTTATCATTTTGGACTCGCCTGAGCAACAGGTCAGCAGCCCCCTCCCGCTTTTTTGATTCCCCCGGCCAACTAAACCGTGACCCACTTACCGCGGTTCAAGATGCCAGCGATTAGAACGGGCGCCGGCGCTGGGGGCGGGGCATGGACCACGGGTGGAGCGGCGGGCAGGAGCTGGGGCTTGTTGGGGAAGTCATCGAAGCTCAACCCGGTCACGGAGGCGCTCAGGAGCGGGTTTTTCACAACACGCGTCGAGTTGCTCGGGTTTGCGTTGTTGTTTATACGAGACACGTCACCTTTCGATCTTTCCGACATGTTGACGCCCGATTCTGGACCTTAAACTTTCTTTTTATGATGTGTACGTCAGCTAAATGTACTTAGCTTGCCAATATACCGTTTTTCCCAAAGGATTTTCACGCCCACGAACGTTTTTAAGCGGAAAACCCGAGAAAACTTCCAGGCAGGCAACTGCTGCTTCTTTCCACGCCTGACATTCGCCACGGTCGAGCTTTGGCCATTCGCCGTGCTGACGTTACGTGGCGAATGACCATGTGAGGAAGAAGCAGAGTAAGCAGACTTTAATTTATTGATAAAATATTTACTAAAGATTTTAAATTAAACAGGCTTTAAACAGAGTTTTGAACATATACGTTGAGTGGCAGGCGTGCAGACTGTGCCATGATTTCGTTTTAGAGGGAAAAGCAAGGCGCAAAGAGCTGTTTTTCCGCAAAGAGGTGGATCCAAACACACCCACCAAAAAATATAGAAACCCCGTGATTACTCATCGTTGGAATGTCCGGAAATCCTTTTGACAGTGACGATGAGGAGAACTCCGGCAGTGGAGAGATTCTCGAAGGCTTCCTTTGTCCCATTTGCCGGGCAGACCTCAAATCCATTGACGTGCTCACGGATCATTTTTCCCGCCAGCATGCCGAAGAAGAGGCGGCTCTGAAATCCCTTAAGGATATCTTCACCAAAGCGAAACAGAAAATATTGAACAACTTTGAGGATGAGCGGGGACCGGCTGCTTCATCGCCCGGAAGTGCCTCCGCTTCAGCGGCTGCAAAGAATCCAAATGGCAACGGAGATCGGAACGGGCCGAGCAATGCCCGGTCCCGGATGAACGTCTTCAACCATATGGGTCGCCAGCAAGCGGGCGCCGAGTGCTCGCACTTTGAGTATTTTCAGTCCATTCGCAATCCCCGCCTGGAGCGCTATGCCAGCGAGACGAACAAGTTGATTATCCGGTTGCACCGCCTCCTAAAGGATCTGCCGACGGATTCAGTGCAGCGACGACAGCACGAACAGCAAACGGTGACCTGGCTGGACGGCAGCTCTGTGAAGTTGTGTCCCAGTTGCGCCAAGAGCTTTCACATTGCTCGGCGACAGCACCACTGTCGTCTGTGTGGCGGCATCATGTGTAACGACTGCTCCAAGTTCTTGCCCCTCGAGAACGCCCGTAAGTTGGCCCCAAATAAGCTCTCAACATCCATTAATCGATTCCAATCCTACAGTGCAACTGGCCAGTCTCTCCACCACTCGCAGTGAGCCCTTGCAGCAGCTACACCAAAACGAGAACGCCATCCGGCTCTGCGAGCACTGCCTCTGGCTGCTGGACACTCGCACGGACATGCACGAGAGTCGCACCTGTCGTCCCCTGCTGATGCAGGTCTACGAGCAGATCAGGCAGCTGCAGAAGGAAGTTACCCCCGATCTGGACATGTATCTAAAGATAATCAACAGCCTGAACGAAGGGGACACCATCTTCACGCTAGCTGACGCTGGAGCCCTGCGCGGAAAGATAGGACAGGTGGCCGAGACCATGGATGCGCGGAGCAAGCGCATCTTGGCCATTTTTTGTGAGCCCGGCAGCCGCGAGGAGGCCCTGAAGAAGGCCATACGCTTGGGTTGCATTCAGGCCATCAAAGACCGGATGCTGTCGCTTCCACCACTGCCAGAGGAGGCGCACATCCTCCAGATGCAGGAGCGGCGGCGCATGGAGACGCAGCAGCGCATCCTGACCGAACAGCGCATGGCCATGGAAGCCTACGAACGCAATAACCTGGCAAATCAATCGTTTGTGGTAGTTTCGAACCCAGAAAGTGGATCCTTCGCTCAGGGGGTAAGTTTGGGCTGTCGTTTAAACTTAAATACATGTTTAACGCCTTTGTGCTCTCTAGTCGGATCTTCAATCCCTAACCAACTGGTCGGCACCGCAGGCGGCCAGCAAGTCGACCCTGGACGATCCCCTGATAGAACAAATCAACATTATCAAGGGCTACATCAAGCAGGCGCGCCAAGACATGAACTTTGAGGTTGTGGAAACGCTGGAGCTTAATTTGCGCGAGCTCCAGCGCGAGGTATTCGAACGGCAGCGCCACTCCCAGGGCAGCACTCCAGCCTCGCCCACAGATGGATCTAGGCAAAATCCTATATAGTTGTATAGATGTAACCATTCCCCGCTTTTGACAGAATTAAACGTATTTCGTTACACGCGAGTGAGTGTATTTTTTGTGCGAGAAACTGGAAAATCAAAGTGTATGTGCGTTTAACGACCACTGAGATTCAAAAATGCAGCATTCAATATCGTTGTGATGGAGTTAATCTAGGATTTAAGGCCCACGGCGGCGATTAGGGAGTTGACCTTTGCTATATAGGCCGTTTGGGCGTCGGCATTGCTCAGCCCCTTGCGGTTGTTCCATGCCTCCCACTTGGCCTTGCCCTTGAAGTCCAGGAAACCGGGCTTATCTGTGTGGAATAGGAATGCATTTTAGAGATATGAAAAACAATCTGATTAACGTAATTGGAACCTGTATTGCAATCGCCGACGGTGGCCTGCTTGTACAGGCTGTAAAGCTCGAGCAGGTCATTATCCCCGGGCGTGGTGTTCAGATTCTTCACATCCTCTGCCGCTTTGTTGAATTCCTGCGGATTATTTATGGGAGTTTATAGTTAAAGATATTGTCACAATGAGTTATTCGCTTTACCTGCAATTCTGACATTTTTATTTTTAAAAGATTTCTATATAGCGGAAATGGCTATTTGGAAAATTGCGAATAAATTCTATGAAATGGTGTGGCCAAAGGCAGTATTTAGAAATACCATAAGTTTGCCGATATAATATCGTTAAAGTCCAAACTTAGAAACTGATTTTTCGGTTCTGTTTTATTTAATCCTGTTTTTAAAGATCAATAATATTTGGCTTTTCTGAACGTTATTTAACTAAACAAACAAAAAATATTACAAAATAAAACCAAAAACATGAAAACAAATCAAGGTGTTCCAAATTTCAAACAGTTTACAGCAACGCTTATGTTAAGTTGCTGTTAACATTGCCATTAACATTGCTCAAAAGCGTTGCCACTTACGCTAAAAAAGCTAAGACTCTAGAATAGTGCTGCCTCTTCAGCTAATGTCAGGCCTTTTTAAAAAATATGAATATTAATTTTAGCAATAAATAGCATCGTAATATCATTGATTTATTGTATAACGAATATATCCTCAGAGTCGGATATGTGTGGTCAAATCGCTAAAAGGTTCTGGACTGGCAAGCAAAATTCTTATCATTTGAAATTCCCCAGTTCATTCAAAAGAAGGGTAGATGGTTAATATTTTTTGATAAAACTAACAAACATTACAGCGCATTTATTTAAGCAATGTTTTTACACCACCTGTATGTTTTACAGCTTTCTTCCAAACATTTCGAATTGAGTGGTTTTTTGAGCGAAATATAGCTGATTTAGTATACACTAAATACTAAATAAGAATTTAAATTAAATATAAATAATTTACTAGCTATAAAATAGCTACAAAGTCACCTTAGCCGAGGCTATTTAAGACGTGCGTTTCGCTCAAAAAACCACTCAATTCGAAAATTTTTACAAGAAAGCGGTTCCTCGCTAAAACAAAAAAAAAAAAAAACATAAATCGCCGGGAATAAAAATAAAAAAAAATTAAGATATTTATGTGCCAGTGAAGCGTGTTCGCGATTACGATACATTTGTCGCAGTGTAATCGGCGGATAATCAGACGGCGATTTATCAGACAATCGCGCCGCCTGTAAAAATCGAAGCGAAAACAATAACAAATGCGCCAAGTGCTACAAATAATATAAAATTACACCGAAAAAAGCGGTGAAAGGAGCAAGAAAGTGATCGAAATAGAGCTCAGGAATAAGAGCAAAAGAAAGTGCTGGAGTGTGTGTTGTGTTGTTGATAAATCGCTAAGTTTCGTTCGTTTTTGTTGTGGTCTTCTTCGCGGAGCTTATGCAAATGTGGTGAGCATATTTCTGCCTGTGTTTTGTTTTTAATTTTAACTGCCTAGCAACTCCGAAAAGGGCGCTAAACGAAAGGTTTCTTTGGTTAACATCGAGAGATTTACAAAGGCAGGTGCGAAGAGCAAACAACAGGGGCTAAGAGCAACCACAACAACAAAAACACTAAGAAGTGCCCACATTTGATTTTCCATTCTGACTTCCCATGTTCCAGTTCTTTGTGTTTTTGTTTCCCTCTCCTTTGCCGCTGTTTCGTTCTCCCCCATTTGCTTTGGCCTAACTTTCTGACTACTTAATCGCGCCCTCTCTTTCGCTCTCGCGTATGCAGTGTTTTGTATTTTCAGCTGTTGATCTATTTTTAATTTCATTAACGTACTGCAAGTTTTTTAGATCCATTTCTCCCCGTTTATCTGTGTCAATTAGTCTCGGGAATTAGCGCAAAAATAGGAAGACAAAACAAAAAGCGTCAAATCAGCGCAAATAACTTTCATTTATTTACATAGCGCCGAGGCGGCAGATAAGCGCGTCAGCAGTAGCCACACTAGAACCCCCTTCATTGATTAATCACCCGCTCTAAGTACTCAGGGGGCGATAAGAGCCGCCTGAAGTTGACCCAGTGGCTTTCATTGTCAGATTAAGAAATGCACATAAGGGCCAAATATCAGGGAGATTTATTCTTAAAAAGAATTTTAAAAAATAGTTTTTATTAAATATATTTTATTTATTATTAAGCTTAATGGCTTATGAAATTATGCCTAATAAAACGATTAACTGTGTTTGGAAATTAACAAAGCTTTTAATACGATGAATACTTTCTATTAATTATAATATAACTAAAAGATACTATTTTTATTAATTTTTTTTCTAATTACCTTTTTACCTTTCTAATGAGACTATTCCTAGTGGCTTGACTGCATTTGTATCTGTCTTATCGGCCCCTATTTGAACTTGCAGTCGCACTCTGTTAACATATGGCAACGGGCTCATGGCTTACGACCCAATATTTGTTGTTTGAGGCGAATGCAACGCTTGGCATTTGTTTATTATTTACCTGCTTGACATTAAGACCAATGGTCAGGTGACATCTGCAAAAGTCGCAAATTATTATTGGGAAGGGAACGCTTTTTACGGCAATCGCGACAATAAATTTTAATATAGAACATCAACAAAATAAACTTAAAGATTTGTGTCTGTCCCTAAAGTGTGCAAATAAGGAATTTCTAGTTTGCACATTAAAAATTGTTGCTTAAGTTAATAGAAATAGATATGTGTATATGTTTTTTTAATTCCAACCGTTTCATCGGGGTACAGAAACCTAATTCTTGTACATCTTACTTGGCTTTGTTGTCGGTGCTTTGCTGCTTTCCCCTATAATTGCAATCAATAAATGACGCATTTTAATCGGTGAGACCCACGACCACCGTAAGTCTAGACTCTAGAGCCACCGCATTATCGCAGCTTGAAAACATACACACTTATACTTATATATTATATATTTATTGTCCCGAAGAAACACAAATGCCAGATGCTTTCGATGACTTCATGAATATTTTAAAAGTTGACTTATTTTGCTTGCGATCAGATCTGTAGGTTAATTTAATTTTATTGAATTCGACTGATCTGAACAAGTATTTGAACTTTAATATTCCTAGTGGGGTTAATCAGTAAGGTTTAAATTTAATTTTAATAGCCGTTTAAACAAAATGTTGTTTTGATCTGCGGCTATTCGCCTTTGAGTTGGTTTTTCGGAATATATCATAAAGTTTTTAATGATAGACGCTCCGAGATATAAACAAATGAAGCCATTCCACTTGACTGCAATGAACAAGCAAGAGCCACAGTGATTAATTAGCAGAAAAATGAGGAAAAGCCCCGGCTTTTCCTATCATTTGTTCTCATTTCATTTATCAAAGTATCTTTTTTGATTACTTCTTGGCTGCACAACGGGCGGAAATGTTGTTGCAATTAGTTTATGTTGCCTCGTGCAACCTCGAAAAACTTCTGCACAAACTGTTTGACTGCCAGTGTGTGCCCAAAGTCGTTACACCGACCAACTCAGCTCAACCCAAGTCCAACCATCCACCCACGTCCACCATCAGCAGAATTTGGCACGAGAAAATTTCACTTTTATTGTGGAGGAGAGCAAGCCAACCGAGCGACAACATCTACCCTCTTTTATATGCTATATGGTGTGTACTATATCCACGTAAAAGATAGAGGTATAGGTGGGTTTTTCGGGTGGATGGCGCCGGCAGAAGCTTTTTGGGGAACCACATTTATAAAACTGCAACAGCTGCAGTTATTTTTCAGCTTGTTTTGTTTGTCGCTCGACGATACCAGTGCAATTTTTCTTTTGTGTCCCCTTCCCCGCTCTCTGCCTCGGTTAACATATTTGATTTTCGATTTTTTGCATGGGAGTTAGCCCCCAAAGAATCCAAGTGGAAAATATAGAAATGTCATATGGAATAAATGAATTCACATTCGAGTTGATGGCTGAAAAATATGGTCAATTTTGAATAGAAACTATTTTTCATTAGGATTAATAGATATACGACGAACTTTGACAGCTAACAAAGGTATGCATAGGTAAGGGTAATTAGGAGTAAGGACAATAGGAGTAAACATTAATGTGAATTCTAGACCCAAACTTTATGTTTTTTCCGGATTCGCCGCCAGAAATTCGCTGTGAAATTAATTTAAAAATCCTCTGGAATATTTATCTTTATATTGTGAGCTTAAGATATTACAACATTTCTATTCTATTTAAATAAATAAATAAAGCTAGTTCTGTACATTTCACATACCAAACTTCCCCTCACGTGCCATGCCAAGGGCACATCTTTGAACTGACTTGGGCTATTTTCCGTGTTATCCGGTGAACAGGCTCACCTCTCTAGTTTTTCCGGCCAGCAGCATCTGCAGGTAAAAAGGATGCATTTTAAGAGGGTTACAGGCGGCAGCTGTTATTGTTTCCTCTTTGTTTTCTTACCTGCTCTGCTCTTGGCCTTTGCCTTGTCGTGGCCTTTTTTGAACTAAAATATTTCAACCAAATGCCGCTGCCAGAGGCGAGCGAGAAAAAATAATATAAAACAAACGAATTCCTCAACATTTTGTGCGTTGTTGCGTCATCGGGCACGGAAAGTAGCTGTGTATATGTACATATATATATATATGAATATATGTAGTATAGTATATACATATACTCGTCTATCTAGGAACAATAAAACAAAACTCTGACACTGTCTGAGTCTGGTTTTTGAATTTAGTCATTTGCCGGTCTCAGGCGCAGAACTTGTTTCCGTTTTATTTTAGCGCTTTCATCGCATACCAACAACATAGTTTACAATTTTATTTATGTACAAATATTTCCTCTCTCTCGTATTTGATTTTAGCTGTCACTGTCTCTAAACGCTTTAATTAAATTTTAGTTTTATCGCCGACAGTTTTATTTCTATCAGAAACTAAATTAATTTCGTCTCACATTCATCCACTGCTTATCGTCGCATTCTGTGTGTGAGTCTTGCAATCAGAAATAAAATATCCCTGCAGTACCATTCATCAACAATTCATCAACGTTTCATCAATAGCCGAAGGGGTGTTGTTGATGATTCATCGATGAATGGCCATGCAAATTACTGATGAATTTAACATGGGCATGTCATAGGCATTCATCAACAACAATTCATCAACAATTAATCATCATTTCATCGATGAATTGTTGATGAATTACTGATGAAAGACTGATGAAATGTTGATGAATTGTTGATGATTCATCGATGAATTGTTGATGAATTGTTGATGAATCATCAACAATTCATCA